ATGGTCTTTACTTAAAGTATGTAATCAATCATCGAAATGCAATTTCTCTAATGAAATTCAAGAATATTAGTAATTATAGGTTTTGGAAACTGAATTTTGGGTAAAGCTCGGAAAAAACAGTAGGCTGTGTGGAGGATGGGCAAAAAGATATACGGCATTACAAAAAGTATACTTTTTTATATCGTGCGGCATTCGTCGTATCCACCCCTGACGGAAGACGACCCGTGGAGAGGGTTATGTCGAACTCGAACTGATTAAAAACAGCCGTCTCGGGTACCAGTAGTCGGAACCACGAGTAACCTAGAAAGGAAATCCCTGGTATTCCGAAGGACCCCGGGCCATCTATGGCTTACAGATATCCCGCTCGTGTGTGCTGTGTCGCTTTTCTTCTTAAGGGCGTGATCGCTATGGAACGCGTCGCGCCGCCACGCCGGCCTGCTCCTGCTAGAGTGATAGATGGCCTCACCTGTCACCCCCAGGCCTGCGCTTAGCGAGGACAGAGTACGTTTAACGACCTCCTGTGCCAGATCCGTCTGCGGCACCAGTGATGTTAGCATGACGACTAACTTTTTTCCGGGCTTGGCAGACTAGAAGAGTTCTTGACCACTTCCAGTCCCGCTCCGCCGTCTCTTTCGCAAGCATAACTTGCTCGCAGAACGATGCGGTGGAGTTCCATGCACTCTCGCTTCGTACCATGGCCACAATAATGGTACCGAGCGAGAGAATACTCACTGACACTCATCACTTCACGAAATTTCACGCTGACCGGGACCGTTCCTACTTGGGTCGACGATGGCTCTCTATGACATATATTAGGTATACAGGCACTTCATGATACACAAGTCCCTCCCTGATGCAACTCCAGGGCAAAGTGTTAAACGCGTTGGTGATGTCCAAGAACACCGCCAACAACACTTTGCTCTAGGAAACTGCTTCCTGCACCACAGCCCTTACGCGTATCAGCGCATCCACGGTTGAGCGCCCCTGACGGTAACCGTACTGGTTGTCCGCCAGATCCGGCCCCAACCTCGCACACAATTTTGGCAACTATAAAAACTTTCAGTGTCTCCGGAGAAAATCACCAGACCAATAATCGGCGATTTGGCATAGCAAAATAAAATTTTATAATTTTTTTTTATTAAACTTTGTCTCTCCTGAACCTTTTGGTTAAATTATCAAAAAATAAAAATAATACTCGAGCTAGGACAGGAATCAAAAGGTATTTTAGTACTTAACGCAGAGTAAAGAATTGGCTACGATCGACAATGACAGGAAATCCAGTTGTCGGCTTCTAACTGCATGATGAGTGTGCATAGGAAGAAAGTTCTGGACGCACAAAAATTCAAGTGTTTGCGGCAATATTATTAAAATGAGTTAGTTAGTAAATTGTATATGAAATTCCAATAATTAATCTAGTTTTCTTAATTTTGCCCCACCCCTAAGTAAATGCTGGGTACACCCATGTAAATGACTATAGTATAATAGAGTCAGATACGCAATATAGTATGCGTTACTGCAAATTGGTGGTATAGTCTAGTTTTGATATAAACCAAAATTTTTACCTTCATCCATAAATTATTATAAACTGCTGAAAAAGTGCAAACTGGCCAAACAAGCCAAAACGTCGCTTTACGAACAGTTTCATCATTTTCTGCCGGAAAACCTTTTGTGCAATCAGCTGTCAAAGGCTAAGGTCCTTCCCCGTGGGTATTGCACAAAAGTAATAACTACATAGGTATTCCGTGCAAACAGTTTACGCACACTATCACAATTTGACGGCCGGAGGGGAGGCCCCGCGCGCCTTTGCTGTTCGATTATTCACATTGCAGTTTTGACCGTATGTGGTATTTATTAAATTGTTATTTACTCATTGTGATATCAACTTTCATCACTATTAACCAAAAAAAATTGAAAATTATATAAAAAAATGATGAATTTGCCGGCCGAAAAATCTAGTGATATTCGTCTCAGAATCATGGTCTGTATATAGTATAATATTTAGTAAAATTATAGATATTATAATTGTTAACAAAAATAATATGGAAATTTTTTGGTGCAGTGTTTTTCTCACATTTTTTTTAATATTCCAAATAAAATATAAATTATTCGACTATTCGTCTTTCTCGAACATTTCAGTGGTGCAAAAACCAGGTTTGTCCCGGTCTTCGGGATCTTTGCAGAGTTCTTCGTACCATGGTCTTGCTATGGCCAAAAGCCCTTCTTTAACCCGCTTTTTGCCTTTTATACCAAGTACAGGATCTGATTCCCTTGAGTTGATCTTGAATTTTAGTCCGAGTTATCTGTGTGTGTGTTTCTCTTATTCCAGTATAGAGTAGAATGTCATTTAGTTGTAAGGCGGCATCTTTTTCTTTTTTTCCTGTGTTTGAATTTTTTTTAGACCTTTATCTTAAAAAATAATTTAAAATATTGTCTACTTTTTACGCCTAATTCTAATGGTATAAACGAAAAAGTAATCCTCTTTAACATTGTTTAAATTAGGACTACATTGATACTTGCTAAAACACTTGATTACACTCAACACATTATTATGATATTACAAATCATTTCAATTGTGTTGGTTAACCACCACCATTTTAGCCTATGATTGTAGGTAAATTAAACAAAATTTCTTTATATAAACTGGTGGACGCTTACTAAACAATTGCATCTTTGCACTTTTACCATGCTATACCCTACAAATAATAATTTCTCTTATTCGTAGGCTATGCCCTAAATTGTAAAAGACCTGTATTAACCATTATGATCATACTAAGCAAAACAAATTAATGCTGTTTTCGACATATTGTCAGTTCGGTTACCGACCACCGAGCTTTTTTTTAATATTATGCATAAACCTAGCAAAATATAACTAAATAATTTCAAAAACTTAACGATTGCTCCAATCAAACACAGTTGATATTGAGCGCCGCGCGCAGTACTAATTATGTTTTTAAATCATCAATAAAACACACCACTAAATCGTCTCGCATATTAACCTTTTTTTTCGATGCTAGGATAAATCACTTGTTTCAAACTATGTAATTTTTATTTGAAAACTGTTTAAAAAACGCATAACGTTTCTTTTTTGTGAAAGTTATTTCTAGAAGTGCTATTATCTTAACTTATAGGAACTTAGTCCGTCAAATGGTCACCTACTGAAGGTGGTCGCGAAACCGGCGGTGGTGGCGAATTAGGTGCGGGTCCACCCACTACCGGATTACAAGTAACAATGAGATTCAGAATTCCCTCATTTCTATGCCGATTCAGTAGTGCTCTGCTTGCTTCGACGAGTAAGTCTCACTGATGGTCAGTCCGATGTCTATAATGACCTCATAGACGAATGGCAACAACGCTGGGACGAATCATCCAAGGGGTGCCATCTTTACAAATTCTTTCCATCTGTTCGCGAACGGTTGTCGAGGACATGGCTTGAGGTGGATCACTGTGTCGCTCAATTTCTTACGGGTCATGGTAACTTTAAGAGCAAGCTGTATTCATTGAAATTAGTCGAGTCACCATTGTGTCAATACTCAACACCTAACTCTCACTATGAACAGTCTGCTCATCATATCCTCTCTGAATGTTGTCTTTGGTATAATGAACGTAATATAATGCTGAATAGCTTGCAGGTGACATCTGGGGCGGTATACTATGGGGATCTTGTGTCAACTAGGGTGAATATCCGTGCGTTTAGGCGATTTTGCCATACATATTTTAGAAATCAAATATAGCTCACCTAGGACCCGTAATATTTTGTGGCTATTTTTTGTAATATTTTTTTTGTATTTTTTGTGGTTTTTTTTTCCCTGTTTAAAAGGGTGTATGCCTATTTTACTTCATTTTGTCTCCCGCTTTGCTAAGGAGGGAAGTGGATTTACTGTATTTCCAACTCCTCCAATTTTCTTCTGATTAGTTTCGTTACGGGTTCCAAGACAGTTTAATTTCTTCCTGGGACTTCCCGAGTGTCATAACTCAGTGTGTTCGTGGGTCACTGCTGTGGATTCTGGTGTACAGGTCTTTGTCTTGTCTTGTCGTCTTTGTGGTTGTTGACTGTAGTTACCGGCCGACCGCGAAGCTCGTTCTTCAACTCAAAATTACCAGATCTAAAGCAATTGAACCAATAATGGACCGTGTTTATGAAACCAGTATTGTACGTATTTCAGTTCATCCATGGCAACGAAAACTACCACAATTTCACAAAAACAAAACACTATCTAAAACAAGTGACTGAATTTTAAATTATAGTAATAGGATTAGCTATAAAGTTGGAGATTTTTAAAAACAGCATTTTCAGATTTATTTATGTGGATTGGAATTCGAAATTCAAATAAATTTTATTCAAAAGCCATTATTTAAATTTTGATTTGAATTTTGTTAAGTAAAAATGTTTTTTTCATGTGTGTGATGTGATGTGATGTGAAAAATTAACATCCGAGAGGCAGTACAAAATGCTTTCGTTGACTTCATTGTCTACCGTTTAGCAGACTTCTACAGTGAAGGGATGAACAAGCTGTCGACAAAATGGCAAAATTGTATAGATAATTGGGGACAGTACTTTATTAGTTAAAATAAAAAAAAAACTGAAAATGTTGTTTTTTTTAAATCTCCTACTTAAGTAACTTTATCTATTATTATCATACTTTTATGGCATAACAAAAAATAACAAAATTTACCAGAATGATAATAGTGGTAGTTGCATGTGACATTAAATTAATTTCAATTTTGCTGAAGTTCAATTCTGCTCTTCTGCGAAGACGTCATCTCGCAGAAGGAGGCGGCGGTGATGGCCCGGGATCATAATCCCCGCTCGAAACCTTTCAAAATTCAGGGAAATTCAAGTCAAATATAGCAACACTTTTTAAATGTTATATTATACCTACAGCCTACTTGTCAAATTGAGTGTCCTTGTCCTCCAATCGTCTAATTCCAAATTGGTATATCAATCAATTGTCAAAGTCTTGCGATACCTAGCATAACACTGTTGCTTGGAGTATTTACAGAACAGTTAGCGATTAATCTTATTTCCTTAACTTCTTGTCTTGTTTCTCCTCCAAAACAGGTACTTTTTTGCATTATAATAATAGAATAAGAATAAAACAGAAATCAAACAAAGTAAACAGCAAGTATTCAACATTTTGGCGGTTTCTTGGAAAAATCATGTTGACCGGTATTTTATTACGTCATTGTATATTTATTAATTCTAATTTTTTAGCTATTTAGGCAAGGTTACGTTGACAAAAACGAGTTAGTAAACGCGTAAATTACAAAATTTACAGCTAACTTGTACATATTAATAACTTATTCAATTTGTTTTCACCACACTCCGTAGCTTCGCTCATTTAAAAGTAATTTTATACAACTTTTATTTGGGTGGAATATACTTTTTGCTGTAAAAAATAATTTTGTGGAAAAGAAACAAGAAATGATTTTTATACATAAGATACAGATAAACAATTATCATTGTTTCAGAAAACTGCAATGGAAGGTTTAGAGCTAGTTTCGTCCAACAAGATTTTTGGGGGTTATCAGAAAGTATATTCCCATCAATCATCAGAACTAAAATGTAAGATGAATTTCTCTATATACTTCCCTCCACAAGCTGAAGGTGGAGATGTCAAGTTGCCAGTAATTTTCTACTTATCTGGACTTACATGCAATGAACAAAATTTTATTAGTAAATCAGGTTTCCAGAGGTAAGCATTATAACATTATATTCCATAATATTAAAGTTAGATGTTTCTTTTTTGTACCTTACTTCTAAAGTTCATCTCATCACTTTCTCTAGCCCAATAAAGGCCTTATAAGATCGGGTACTTCTAACTTAACTGTTCACATGCCAGTCCTCTGATATGCCCCTACACTGTAAAGTGCTTTGACCAGTAAGCACTGTACAGTGTAGCGGCATATGAGAGGTTAAATTGTAGGTACAAGGCTTGTTTGCTTGTTATTAAAATGTTAAGATGTTAATCATTTAGTTTTTTTTAATCTTATTGGAATATATGCTATCTACTGCCTTTACCTAAAGAATTTCATCAAATCATCCTACTCTGTGAAAAAATAATATAATTGTACCTGGCTGATACATTGAAAATAATTTAAAAAATATCATCAGGGATTGGTATAGACGCCAAAAAAAATATTTATAAATTTGGTTTCTGTTTCTGTATGTTTGTGCTCCCATTATTTGAAAACTACTACAAAAATTTGGATGTGGTTTTCTCAGTTGTATTGCCGTTAGTCTATGTTTCATCTTGAAGCACCACCCAGAAGCTGCATTATTAGTAATAGTGATTAATTCACTTAATTGTCTATTTAATTTAACTTATATCAATATACTTTTTTTTTAATTGCTGAGCAAAAAGCACACACAAACGGTCATTATTTTGTGGTAATGTCTGACACACTATTGCATGCCTCCATTAATTCATGTTTTGGGCTCAGGTTTATATGAACCCAGAGCAATAAACATTAGTGAAATTCAGTTTTGTATTGATAGCTTCAATACCATTTTTATCCGTTATGCTGCGGAGAAAAAGATTTTACAATCCTTAAAAAAATAGCTTATTTTGCCTAACCGACCTTATGCGAATCTTTTTACGGTTCGTTTTAGCAGCAATAGACTAAAATGTGTCTAGAAATACTATAGTCAACATAGCACTTTTCCTCCAAACAAATCTCTAGGTCAATTATGAGTAGTTTAAATTACAGGGAGTATTTGTAGTATGTTTTAAACATTAAATCAACTGCTTCTTGAATGCAAAGAAACAGTTACCTACTTCCAACCAGATACCTAATTCCAAATGTCATGTGTACAAATTCAAAGGCATAAGTTGTAATGACATCATTAAAAAATTATCATGGTGACCTTAAGTTTAGAGTTAAACATTTTATGTGTGACCAATTAATAGTGACTTATTGAACTATTGTGTAATAGCAAGATTATTATGTCACGTCAGCTTTATCAATCTAGTAGAATTTTATCAGTATGGTTATCAATTTTGTGTAAAAACAAGATATCATATTTTTTTACTAAATATTTATAGGTTAATTAGAGATATTTGCATAAACTCTAATATAATAGGTCCTGAACATAACATGGTCTATCATCAATAACAATGTTTTCAATTTTCTCTCCTTTAAGATTTCCCTCACTTACATCTTTAATGTATTTGCATAATAATAAAAATGTCTTCAACCATATCATATAACTGTGTAGTAGGTATTATGAAAACATCCATGTACTTTTCAAGTTTTAGGATGTCATTTTGTTTTTCCCAGTAGTTGGGTAAAAACTATGTAATCAGAAACTGGGATGGTTGGCAAGTAACTGCCCAGAAAATTGACCACAAATGCTTATACATATTCCTACCTTAATATTGCAAGCACAGGACACATCCAAAATTACTATATCAAGTCTGAAAGTTAATGTTGCTATTGTAATATAATATATATTTTTATCAAAAGGTATGCAGCAGAACATGGCATCATAGTTGTTGGACCTGACACTTCACCCCGTGGTGTAAAGATTGAGGGTGATGATGAGTCCTGGGACTTTGGAGTTTCAGCAGGCTTCTACTTGGATGCCACCAAAGAACCATGGTCTAACAATTATAGAATGGGTAGTTATTTAAACAAGGAATTGTATGAACTAATTCAAACAGCATTTAATAATGTAGTTGATGGCGACAGAATAGGAATAATGGGACACAGGTAAGAACTGTTTTAGATGCTTATCCTATTTTTATTCATTGTTAGTTTGTTAAGTCATATTATTAATATTTAAAAGCCGATTTTAATCATCTATTTTTATATTAAATAGTTCCCATAAACAATTTAATAATTGATCCGACTCCTAAGACTGAATAATTAAGAGATGACGAATAAAGCTTGTTGCAATTTATCAAATTATTTGAATTCAAGGATATTAAAATAATATACAGTTTATTAGCCTTGGTATATAGCATGGGTAAATTAAAATTAAAAATAAGATCCTAATTATAATGCTTCCATACAAAGTAGTAAGACCCAATAATAACAAATTCATGATTTAAATATTATTATCTTGTATTAACATAACTGTTCAGAGTTGCTATATTAAAAACCAATACTTTGCTAACAGACAAAATGATTGATTAATAAATTTTATTGTTTCTAGTATGGGTGGTCATGGGGCTTTAGTATCCGCTCTAAGAAATCCTGGCTTATATGTATCTGTCAGTGCCTTTGCCCCCATCTGTAACCCTACAGCATGCCCATGGGGCGTTAAAGGTTTTACTGGATATTTGGGAGATGATAAAAGCAAATGGGTTGAATGGGATGCATCAGAACTGGTCAAGAAATATAATGGACCTCCACTAACTCTGCTTATTGACCAGGTAAGATTTTATACTTTAAATTTATTGTATGATTTGAATCTAATTCAAATACAATTAAAGAATAAGGTGTTATTTTTACTTATTTTTTATTTGTATACTGAAAAGCATTAATAGATAACGAGCAATGCCTATATGCAAATGGCTAAAAAAATCCTATATAAATTACCTTATGTAATTTTATAATTCATATCCAGCCTCAATTTGGGATGCTCTGCTATGTTTAAACATTATTTAATATAATCCATCATTTCTGTGCTATTATAAAAATTACAGGCTACAAATTTTAGTCCACTGTTTTATTGAAGTGTGGTATTAAAGTAATTTAATAGAAAGTGTATTTGTGTGTGTTTAGTAAACCAATATGTTCAAAGGCCGATACAGACATTGCGAGGTATGCGCCGCACTCGACGCGTAACTATAATATAAATTAGCTTCTAGTAAAAATAAAACCAGCGCATTCTCAGGTCGACTAATGTAATGTAATCCAACCGCGTGCAAATGCTACGAGGCGAGCCATCGAATCGAAACACCTTTTTCTTTTGAATAATTTAATGAATTACTATAAAAACAGCAGCGGCTACGTGTACGCGATGGCGGTGGTGGTGCCATTATGATGACCACATTACTATACAAACATCAATAAACTAGTCTTTTTAAGAAACACTGTATATGATAACTGCCTCATTGTTACAGGGTGCAGCCGATAAATTTTACATTGAAAAGCAGTTACTTCCTGAAAACTTAGTGGAATCCTGTCGCTCTGTAGGAGTACCAGTCATACTCAATTTACGTGAAGGTTACGACCACTCATACTACTTCATTTCTACGTACATTGGAGAGCACTTTGATTTTCATGCTAAAATACTAAAAGCTTAGGTTTCATTAAGTGGAAAGGTTATGTTGACTCAGTCAATACTTATGTTATTTTTGCAATAAAGTTGTTATTTTTTACATTTCAGTTTATTAATGAACCTATATTGTGATAAAGGAGTGATTAAACTATTATTAGAAATTCTTGCTTTGTATGGACATTATAGTAGTTTTTTTTAAACTACTCCTGCATTAGGAATATATCTTTTGTCGCGGGGGGCTTTACAAACATACATGAAACGGACACAAAGAACACCCAGACTCAGAACATTTTTTATTTTATTTAACAGATTACAAAGCAATTTACAATAAGTGATTATAATAGTGCATTTGAACACCACTGAGGTTTGTAAAAATGCAACAAATGTGAATTTGATAATAAAAATATATAATAATATTTTATTTGGGTATATCACAGTCGTTGCGAATACCAGAATCTGACATGAAACAAACGTCGCGCAATATTAAATATCATAACCCTACACAATCGCGAAATATGCAATCTCAGATAATATTTTCTACATACTGATGTGGGAGTGCATCGCAATGTATTTGCAGTGGATACCGGATTCAACCCCGCTTGCTCTGGCTAAAGAGAATTGGCGCAAACCTGTAGTACTTAGTACTAATGATCGTAGGGAAGTATGGAAGGGCAAAGAGCACCATGGTCGGTTTTATCGGGCCCTAAACGGGTCGATATAGACTTAAAAGCATCTACGACTGGGCTACGGTATGGTGATCCCTTCGGAGAAACTGAAAGTTTTGTTTGTGCGATTATGGACGAAGTTATCATGACAAATAACTATCAGAAATATATCCTGAAAGATGGTGCGGTTGACATATGTCGGGAATGCCACCGTCCTGGGGAATCAATCAGGCATATTATTTCAGGTTGTTCTCGTCTCGCTAACAGTGAATATTTGCACAGGCATAACCAAGTAGCCAGGATCGTACACCAACAGCTTGCCAGCTGCTCACACACTTATTTGTCCTGGGTGGAATCGAACCCACGACCTCTGGAGTAGCAGTGTCACTAACCACTAGACCAACAGGCCAGTCAAAAATATATGCGTCCTTATGTAGGTACTTTTAAAATAATTATATTATGTTAGCGTACGGGCGCAGACCGGTGAAGTGAACTCCGAGTCAGGCAAGGAGAGGAGGAGAGATTACTTACATGACTAGGCCATGTTTTTTAGTTTATTAATTAATCGCGGATGACTTTGGTCTTACATTGCGAAATATTTTTTTTGACCGCCTGATCAAATTCATTAGCGAACCCATCTGCCAGATCTTTTGTTGGAAGACCTTGCCATTGAAATGCTCTAATAATGGCTTCATCGACGGATAAGCTTATGCGGCCTAGCATGTGATTTATAGTCTGATAGTTTTTTTTAATATTATTAAAATTATCGCTACTAGTTTTTATATAATATAAGAGTTTCTATAATTGTCATGTAGGTATTTTATGAACTTTATTACGTACCTAATTTATTATATTCTAGTCGCAATTCAAGATTAATAGGGTTTTGTTTCCAAGTGCTAAATCGGTGCTATTTTCATTGATCCAGGGAGCCCGATATAACCCCTGGCATATTTTATATTTTTTGTGGAACTTGCCTGGTCATGTGCACAGTTGAAGGAATCCCTAATGAAAGTATAAATTTGTTTGGGACAATTCATGTCATCGGTCTTGCGTCCATATCGCCTTATTTCATTAATCATTTAACACTATAATTTACATGTGTTTTGGAAACACCCTGTGTGCGCCGAGTCTCTAAGCATTACCAGTACCACACCAAGCGCTGCTGAGTACGGATCCAATGTGGGGAATCGTGCGAACAAGTGGGCAATGCAAGATTTTGTTATCGTATTCAATTTAGCCTCAATTCTAGTGTAGTCAATGATTCCACATGTAAATCCGTGCTCACTCAGTGCTTCATATCGCCGATTAATAGTGCATTGTTTTGAAACTTGACACGTATTTAGCAAGTTCTTTAACAAACAGCCTTTTGCGAGCATATGAAGATGGTGGCCTATAAATAGCACACATAACTACGACTTGGATATCTGAAGATACCTGTTATATTTTCGAAAGTGAAACTTTTATATGGGATTGTAGTAAAATTTAAATACCGGTATACCCGGACTTACTCTTGTATATTATATTTTATCTATCTGCAATTTAGCTTCTACCGAACAATATTTTATTAGTATCCTGGGATGGTCCTTCCGGTAACCCAGTAACTTCAACGTGTGTTGATAAGTGTACGTTGTCCATATTGTTCTTTTCCTCGTTCTAGAATCGCAACTCGTAATTCCAAATTTTTGTTTTTGTTGTTTAAATCTGTGGTTTTATTTTCCAAGTCCTTGATTCTTTTATCCTGATCCTTAAACCACTACGCCACCCGTGCAGTCAAATTGGTCACATAAAATAAATTAATCGCTAGGGCAACCGAGCAGCCGCCTATGCAAATGGGCAGCTGCAACTCAAGTCATAAATGCGTTGCCGCTCTTTATTTCTGGGGTCCTTTAGGCTTCAGTGACCTCACTCACTCGGTGAAAAGCAATCAAAGGATTGCTTAACACCGCTTTTCTGTAAGGTCGTGGAACCTTCAATAACCCTTATATTTATTGTTCAGAAATCATACTAATATTATAAAGGTGAAAGTTCATATGGATGTCTGTAACTCTTTCGAAAACGGCTGAACGCATCTAGATGAAATTTGGCACAGAGATATATTAAAGTCTGGAATAGCCTAGGCTACTTTTTATCTGGAAAAAATGTAGTGTTACCATGGGATGAGCAACGTACAACAACAACCGCGGGTAACACCCGGTCGCAACTAGTCTTTAATAATATTAAAAATACACAGTGATATTATAAACAATATAATCTGTTCAAGTTACATTTATATTATTTTCTTAACAAAAGGGCTTCATCATATATTTTTCTCTATATAAGCGTCATGCTATCTGTTTGAATCACTTTTCCTAATTGAATGGTAATACTGCAGGAATTTGTCTCTGTTACCCCATAAATTGTCACTACCCCAGCGACACCAGTACCTGAAACAGATGGTGCCAATACTTTAAATGTTTTTCTTACATTGATTCAGTAACTAAGAAATTGTGATATCAGTTTTGATATAGGCATATGTATTAAGCGACAAAAAAGCAGCGCATTTAGAGCGTTCTCATGAGTTTCAGTGTAATTGATTTTCATTAAAACAAATTATGTAATACTAGTCAGGAAACTAAGGGGTATAATATATAAGATTCCATAATCTTAGGTTATATTTTTAATTTATACAAGTAAAGATTAAAATTAGATGAGATTTGGCAATAGCAGGTTATGGAATCATGAATGCATACATAAAAAGTTAACTTACATTCCAAACAAAGCACCACCAAGATGAGCAGCATGATCAAAGAATTTCCAACCAAAGACTACACCAGCCAGGTCCACACTCATTATAACTTTTATGGCCTGAAACAACGAAACAATTTAATGTTACCAATGGCTACTTCCTCTCTCAGAATTCTCATTTTAGGGGAAACGAGGGAACTTATAAATAATCTAATTTTAAAATTCTCTCTAATTTAAAAAATTGTAGCATTCAGTACACACAGTATCACATGGCCGTTTGTCAGATGTGTGAAGTTATTATTATTGTTGGCATCGGTTTTAACGCGCCTTTTTCGACACTCCTACTCCCAAGGCGTCATCCCGAACTTCTGGAAGGGAGCGATTGTGTACCGGATCCCTAAAAAAAGGTGACTGCTTTGACCCGTCTAACTGCAGGCCTATAGGCATAATTCCCTTGTTCTCTTAAGATTATGGAATCCATACTGAAAAATCCCTCGGTACTTAGTCTCGTTGGATCTCTCAGCTGGTGATCTTCTCGTCTTTCTAGCACAAGGGAGAAGCTTGTGCGATTAGTTTGGATATAGAGAAGGCCTTCGATCGGGTCTGGCATAAGGTGCTGCTCTCGAAGTTCCCTTCCTATGGGCTTCCCGAGAAATTATGTAACTGGGTCATATGCGGATGATAGTAAGGGACTATATACCGGCCGCCCCAGTATTTTTTTGGGAAACGTCATTGAGAGTGAAAACAAATTTGAACCTAAAATTGAAACTTCCTTGGCGGAGGTTTCAGATTGGGGTTGACTAAATCTAGTCTATTTTAATCTAGTCATCGACATGACGAGCGAAGTCAAGTTTCGGGGTCACTTAGGTTGTAAGTATTTGACTCCGGCCCACCGCTTTCAGCTCTATAAGGAGCAAGTCCGACCGCATATGGTATAACTCATTTCTATACAGAGGCATCGTCTATAGCCCAAAGATCGTACAAATGTAGCTTTACTCTACATTATCTATCGTATATATCATGGAGTGTTCCCAGAAATTGTTCGCAACTTTCCGCCATCGTTCCAAACGGCAAAATGTTCATCCGCCTCACCTGGATAGTTGGCGCTCTACCACTGTGCGCTTTTCAAGACACTTTTCGCCTCCTATAGGACCTATAGGACCTTCAAACCTTTACGAAAAGAGTGTACTCCTTCCTAAAAGCACGGCAACGCGTTTGTGACTCCTGAGTTGCAGGCGTTCACGTCTGCCCCCGTTACATAAAAAAACAGTTTGTAGAAAAATGACTCCTAAAGGCAAAACGTGATGAAAATAAATTAATTTTCAATAAAAATATTTACAGTGATTTAAATAAATTGTAATAAGTTTATAGAATAAATACTTACCGTGCCAGCGGCAAATGTATACATTGGCAAGAAGATGATACTCAGCCTGGTGTCAGGATATTGCACACATACATATGCTAAAACTGACATTATTGCGCCCGACTGAAATAGATAATAAAACATCATAAATGATATATACAGTACACACTTAAACTTCATGTACAATATATCAATGTTACTAATTTAAGTTGCAATTAAATGCATAGGTAAAAGGCGTTTAAACTGATTCAGAAATAAATTAATTATAAATATGTAGCAAACATTTGTATGAGCACAAAAGTTTTGTTTCATAAAACAGTAATCATTTATTATTATAAATATGCTATCAGTATATACAGAACTAGAAAGTTTACTAATTATAATATAATGAAATTAATTACTATTGAATGGAAAAATCTAAAACTTACAGAATTTCACTGTAAGTTTACTGACACAATCATAAGATTGACTTGTATCGGAACTGTTCCTTAACACAAACTGTTTCGACTTCCACATACAAAGAAACAAAACAAACTTCAGTGCCATTTAATGACTATCCCCTTATATTGAAGGGGCAGGACACTCGGTCCTCCACACAAACATTAAGGGAAATTACTTGAATAACATTACACGGCATATATTAGGCGCTAATAAATAGATTGGGATAAACATGCTAAACGGAACGACATAACACGGTATCGCCCAATTAGTTTTACGTTACCAACCACATTCACGGGTGCAAGTGCAAAAGCTCCACATTTATTATTGTGGCGGAAACGGTAACTGATGTTATTATCTAAATCAATACAAATGTTTCGAATTGCGAATGCGGATTTTAATAGCTGCAAAACGCCGAGAAAAGACTAAGACGTTGTGGGTAAAGTAAAATTGAAAAAGGTTCTAATACAATATAACATGTGTTTTCTGGTATTACTTTTATTATAACATTAAATAAATTCGCTTACCGCTCCGAGACTAAGGCCAGGCTGGTTAAGTAACACCTTATAAAGGAAGCTTGTGAAACTGCTAATGACGCCTGCACTAAGATACATGGCCGTAAACTGCTCCTTGCCTAGGGATGCTACAGCAGCTGCAAAACAAAATATAATCAGACTAGCTGACCCCGCAAACGTTGTTTTGCCATATACATTATGTCGGTTTACCATAGCAGTGCCATCTATTGATTACTTACTCAATCCAGTCGAAAAGTATCGACATCTGTTAGAATCTTTTGGAGTTAACAGATAATTGTGACTGTCAATTAATTATAGACCAATAATTTGCAATAAAATAAAATTGCGACTATAATTAAAGATCTAAGCTATCCTATCTCTTAAGTTGGACCAGACTGCTCACGGTGTGCCAATTTAATTTAAAATCGGTTAAGTAGTTTAGGAGTCCATCGCGGACAAACATCGTGACAGGAGATTTATATATATTAAGATTTAATATCAATAACGTAAATAATAATATTCAAACATGAATAAATTCTTAAGGATGACTTTAGTTTCATCATTCTTATTAAGCTAAGGCTAAGACAAAAGCTATGTACTACACTCTAGTTTGCCTACAGATTTCTTTCTTTCTTATTTTATTAAGAATCTGGATCTTTTGCCAAACTTGAAATTATAATCAGTGATCGAAATGAAGTTTAATACTACCTCAAGTTGCCACCAGAAAAAGATGAGTTGAGACTCATTGTTAGATGTTACAGCAATTCCAACGCCTCCAAGCATCAAATATTTAAAATAGTACAGCATCCCACGACACTAAGCAACTTACTACTAAGTATTTTCACTTATAAAATGCTTACCTGGCATGAAGCTATAAAGGACATACATATTGGCAGCTAAATGCATTGCTGAGTAGTGACTGAATGTTGACAGTAGCATTGGAAGACATTTTGCACCTGTAAAAAATATTTTACAGTATTTATGCAAGTGCCAATAATAATAATTTCATTTAAGTACTTTCATATACATAATAATTTGAGCAAGAATGTAAGTTTTTGTGAGTCTGGGAAGTCCTCTGTTTTAAACTTTTATATCTATGCAGTATGTAATGAGTATCTATTGAAATAGCTGTCAAAAATATTATACTTACTGCTTGAGGGATTAGAACAAAAGTATTTAATCATAAATGGTTGAAGTTGTCTCACACGCCATGCTCCAAAAACTAAAACATTAGCTGCAAGTATTGGATAGAATACTTTTTCACTATCTCTTAGTGAGTTCCACCATTTTCGAATAGTGCCAGGTTCAGATCTCTGTAGACAAGGATTTCAGGTAATACTTTTAGTTAAAAATATTACAAGAGACCAGACACAGAATTCCTATTGTAGCTAAAGGTATGTAAAAAATTAAATTCACAAATGTCAAACCGAAGAGTGATACTAAGAAAATTTATAATAAGTCATTGATTTTCACTCCAGCAAGTGTTACGAATGACTGATAGACACATTTTCTGATTATGCCTGTAACAGGAGTGTGTGTTTTAATGAAAAATATGTTTAATGCTAAACTTGTTGAATATATAATGTTTTGTGAAACATGAATGATTTTGTGTCAGAAATAACCTCTTAACGCTAGCTCATAACAATGAGTAATTTATAGATGGCCCCTTAGATATATGAAATTAAATATATTAACAATGCTTATTGTATTACCTTTTTTTGCTGTACACTTAACCATGCTCCAGATTTTCTGAGGAAAGATGTTGCATGTAACCGGATAGATTCATATTCCCAAATCATACATGCTCCAAGACTCAATGAGGAAACCTTAAAAGAATATATATTTAGCAATAAATGTTAATATTTTCAAATAATTTTGTCCCATATTCCAAAATAGATTTGTTTTCCTGACCAAACGCTACTGATTATAAATTAAAATTATGCTAAGGCCACTCTTCCCTAACTAGTATAATTTATAACCAGTAGTAACCTATTGCTTCTTGAATAAGAATAACTAAATTTTGCAAAGGTTGATGTTGAACAGTTTAGTTTACACGGACTTACAATTATGTAGGTTAAGTTAATGGTTTATTTTAGACAGCTTAACAAAACTTCTCAGAAAATATGCAAAAACGCAACAGACTAAAAAAGGACTTAATCTACATTCATATACAATGTATGTTTATAATTAAGGCCTTAAAAATATAAAATAAACCAATTCACTTTATAATGTAGGTTTTAATAAATAAATTTCCAAATAATTTTATCAATATTATTAACTTTTTTATGGTTTTTTAGAACTAAATAAATACAGCACTGCAAAGAGAAGGAAAACTTGACAAAAACCCTATACCAAAACCTCCTTTCTAAGATGAGGCCTATGTTCAGCAGTGGACTATTAAAGGCTGTTGATAATGATGATGATGAACTAAATAAGAGTATTTTTAGGCCAATTAGACTTTTGTTTACTGAAATGTCAAGACTATAGTGAATAATTATTGGGTTTTTCTGGTAAAGACCACAGCAACAGTTTTAAAACTCAAATTTAAAATATTTGCAGGAGATAGATTGTATTTTATAACCTTAAGGCTAGGCTAGGCTTTAGGCTATAAAAAAAATCTCACCCCAACAGTAAAAAAGAATGGTCTTATCAATGCACTGGGTTTTAATGGTCTTGAATCAATCTTAAGATGTTCCAGGGGGTTTGGATCATTATTGTTTCGACCGTTGCGCCTGGAGTTGTGAAGAGGTTTACGGTGTTGAATTCTCACATTTTGAGCCGCACTTCTAAATCGTAGAATTACACCTGACCTGCTAAAGTATAAAATAACATAAGCGTTGATTGTTGTCATAAAATAACCTCAACATTAGCCAATAGACATACTAAGTATTTGTCAGCTCTGCCGCACACCAAACATTTCTGAAAAACATTATATCTTATTGTCCTATTCTATTGTTACATTATTAATGAGACTAGTTTACTATTAAGTCCAAGGATGCAAACGTATTGTAATATTTTGTGGAATTTCAATATTGACAGATGATTTGAAAAACTGACACTGACAGATGCAGTCGGTATTGCTAGATAAACTCTGCACTGCACATTCATTTATTTTCTTTTTGACAGGTCCACAAGTATTAAGTAGTGAACATAGAGCAGCACAGGCCACCGGAGGACCGGAGAGGACGAGGGACTAGCTATAACGTCTTTTCGTGATACAAAATAGTCTGTCATTTTTTGCGGAAGGCGGAATCTTCACCACGCGCAAACAATTGGCTGTCAATACGGAACTCACACTTAATAATTAAAAGAACACATTAACAATTTACACACACATTATACACATTCTGTGTACGACTATCGATACGTAAGATCAAAAATTCAAGAAGTCGGCTAGGGAAATCGGGTTTAAAAAGTGATACAAGGGTGGATAGTAATATAGATAAGACTTTATTTATTAATACAACAATCATCATTGAAATTAGGTCTTTACCTATGAAATTGCCGTTTTGTATGCAATAAGTGAAAGTACTTATTTTTTCAAACTTTTTTATTTCTGTTATTTGCACCTACCGACTATTACTTTTCCAAATTTCAAATCATTCATTTTCATATACTCCATTATTATACGCTTTTCAAGACACTTTTGCCTCTCACAACCAATCAGTGGAACAAATTATCAGCTGTGGTTTTTCCGGACCGATACGACCTTCGAACTTTGAAGAAAAAAGCGTACTTCCACATCGAAGGCTGGCAACGTGATTGTAACTCCTGATTTGCAGGTATTCATGGGCAGCAGTAGTCCCTTTCTATTAGGTGACCAGTCTGCTCGTTTGCCCCCTGTACCATAAAACAAAGAAAATAAAACGTTGAAGTATCCTTTTTGAATACTACTTCTAAAGTACTTCTAAATCAGTATAGAAAGTTTTTCGGTTTAGTGAAGAGTTGTACATTATTAATAATAAAATTAACTTGATACATGTCACGCATAGCTGTCTGATCCCAAACTAAGTAGAGCCTGTACTATGGTAGCCAGATTAGTGCTAAACATATTTCTATACTTCTTAATAAATACATACATATTACAGATAAAATACATCAGACATAAAAGAAATGATCGTGCTCAATACGCACTTATTGGTCCTGGGTGAGAATCAAACCCTCCGGTTTAGCAGTCAGGGTTACTAACTCCTAGATCAATAGGCCAGTTAGTTGTATTTGCATTGCAATTAATAATTAAAAAATATACGATGATACATTTTAGATTTTGTCAGTCGCGTCGTCAGTTATATTAATAATATTTTTTGTTTAATGTTTCTTTATTGTAAAAATGTTTAATTTTTAAACAAGTTCAGTAATATGGCTAAAACTGACTATTGTGCCATTTTATATCAGATGGAAATAGACAATTGTTACTATATAATTAGCAAAATTTTTGGATTTTCCTACCACAGAGCAACACGGTAGGGAGTAGCCATACGCAGGCGTTCGCCTCTGCCAAAGTATAAGTCCAAACGGTCATATGCGTATAATAAAACTAGTCGCCGCTCACTAGACTAAATCTTATGCCCTTATGTATGTTTGTAAAGTCCCCGCGACACAGGATTTATTCCTAATGCGATAATTGTCAAAAAAAAAGACAGAGGTCAATGTCAAAGGGCATAACAAATGGTATGGATGGCAGAATATTAGAAAGCTTATAGATTTGAAAAAAGGTTTAATTTTCTTATCAAAGTAATTTCTTCGGCTTTTTGCTTTACTGAAGACCTCAAGTAAAGACTTGTAATTAATTTTTTCAGTTAAATCTGATTTGATTCTTTTTCTATTTATTTTATTTTATTCGGATAACATACAGTGTATATAACAGGGATACAACACATTTTAACACTATGCACCATTTACATGTTTTCGCAGTTATACATCTAAAAAGCTTGTCATGGTTTAAGAATATACTAATAATTTAAAGAACCGTACAATTATAATAAAAGCAAATGGAAAAGGTAAATGAAAGGAGAAACCAAGTAGACAAAAACCGAAATTGTAACAAAATAAGCAAAAGTGATACAGTTTAATCATATTAGCCTGAGGACCATGCATCTGTTAATAGTCTGTTAAATTGGTATGGTTTAGAGTTAAATAGATCTAATTATGGAAAGCCAACCAGTCCGTTAATTTCTCTCGAGCTCTCGCTCTGACAAAGAATGACTTTTGCCTATAGTTTGACAAAAATTGAGGAGCATCTCATGCATGATGTCTAGTCATCCTGTTTGGTACCTACTTTAAGATTGATTGTAGATAATAAGGTATGTGAATCGATAACGTTCTGAGATATTTTGATAAGACAAGTGACATCTTAATTCCTCCTTCTTTCACACAATGGTAAAAATGATGTCTTCGACAACGCGCTTCGTAAGTCGTTAGACTTGTACTGTAGAGATTTCCATGACAGGTCCATATCGATCGAAACGACGAAGAATTTTGCAGGGAGGTTACAAGTAGGATTCCTCAGGCATCGGTCCTAGGACTTCTTCTGTGGAACCTCGCGCATAATGCAGTCCCGAGATTTAGTCTTCCCTTTTTTTTCTGTGCGGGAACCCCCTCGGATGCCACCCACCGGTGGTTATAGTGGACTCGAACCGACCTGAACCTAAAGGGCGCGCGCTCCACAGAGCCTCGCACCGCTAACCCGGCCCGCTTCTGTTAGGGTGACAAATGGTCTCACCTATCACCCCCAGGCCTGCGCTTATGGAGTACGAAGGTCGTTCTGCGTCCTCTGTCCTGAGTCGCCTGCGGTACCTGGCCCGTTCCCGGTCCTGGCGGTCAGGAGAGTTCTAAGCCTCTCCCGGTCCCGCTCCGCCGTCTCCTTTGCGAGCATAACTTGCTCGCAGAAGGAGACGGCAGAGTTCCACGCACTCTCGCTCCGCACGATAGCCGCAATCAGGCTATCGAGCGAGAGAACTCCCACTCCGATGGCCGCCAGGAGGCCTCGCCTCTGCTCAACCCACGCCAGGCACTCCGACAACGTGTGGAGAGGCGTGTCCACGGTCTGGCGATGTAAGCGTCTGTCATCTAAGTCCACGGTCTGGGCTCTTTTTTTTTATGGTACAGGGGGCAATCGAGCAGGCTGGTGGACTTGAGGGAAAGTGACTACCGCTGCAACTCAGGAGTCACCAACGTTGCCAGCCTTTGATGTGGGAGTACGCTATTTTCTTGAAAGTTCGTAGGTCATATCGGCCCGGAAAAACCACTGCTGATAATTTGTTCCACAGATTGGTTGTGAGAGGCAAGTGTCTTAAAAAGCGCACAATCGTGAATGGATATGAATTTTGGCATGTGGAACGATGACAGCATGTTACGGTCGGTATTAGTCCGAACAACTCCTCGAAACACTCTCTATAATACATACCTACGATACGTACAACGTATCGCCAGGGGATCTAAGATCTTCTAGCTATCGACGATTCGGGTCGCTCTCCGAGGTAGAAGCTGGTGCTGGGGTGCCCCTGCATATAGATGAGGACAGTATTCCATATGCGCGTTATTGAGTTGTTTTTATTCACGTAGTTATGTATTTCGGGGATGCTCTTTCTAATTTCGGGGCAGACGGGAGACGATTTCCAAGCCCCTTTGAAAAACCTGACATGGAAGATCGCTTCACCCCTTGAAATGATAACCTAATGAAAATAGAAAAAAGGTATATGTTTTGCTAACTAATCACACGATTTAACTTTACAAAGTCTAGCATAGTTCATTTTTTATACCGCTCTTATTTAGAACAAAAAATCAAATGACAGGTAAAGTAATTATAATAGCTCAGTATCCTTCCTTTATCTGCAGATTATCTTAAAGGAAGAGTAGGGAGAAATAAGAAACTTGACATTGCACTTAAATTATTCATATTATCTTTACATTGTATAAAATGTGGTCACTTTTTTATTTTTCTTTTGCACTTCGCAACGGATTTTAATGCGGTTTCTACCAATAGAAAGAACGATTGAAGAAGTTGGTTTACATGCATATTATAATACTCGTAGAGGAAATCAAAGGAAGGGGAATTTTAAAGATTTGTAAAAACGTGTTTTTGTGCGCTTACATTGCAAACGCTGGCTAAACCTTACGCGATAGATCAAAATAATATACATTGGAATTATATAACTTAAAAAGATCTACAAAAAAGTCCTCGGTGGAATATATCTATCTTCTACGCATAACCTACAGTAACAATTTTTATCGTTTACATATTGCAAAAAATAACTAAATTTGTAATTTACGAAGCTATTTTGAATAATACAGTATTATTCCTTATCAAAATAAATACATTAGATACGTTGTACATTAAAAGTAGATCAAAATTGCCTTTACAACACATCATTAAAATCAATAAATTAGTAGATATTAGAGATTTAAAATTCAAGGCAAAGAGGCCGTCGCCGCAACGAGCCGTATGTCCGTCCTAGTAGACAGCGACCGGCAGGAGCGGAGCAGGCCTGTAAATATTGCATATAACGATGTCCTGCAGTATGATTTTATCATAATCTTTACATAGTATAAAATAAAGTCGCTTTTTTGCGTCTTACGCTTAGCTCTTTTAAACTAAGCAACGGATTTTAATGCGATGATTTACTTGTATAATACACGCATATTATAGTAGAGGGCTAGAATTTCATAGATTTGTGATATGTACATGTCTTGTGCGCTTACATTGCAAATGCTGGCTGCTTTTATTAGCCTTATTTTCAACATGTTTTTCTTTCATGTTTATTTTTTAGGAAATGGATTTTTATGTAATGTAGGTATGTATTAAGATTATAGGAACCACTCTACTCTTCTCTAAAAAATAAACAGCCATAGCAGTTTTAGATAGTGTCATAAAAACTATAGCACTCTGAGTGCGGTAACGCACTTCGTTCGATCCAAATCCGTGGAAATACAGTCCGAAGTATTTCTATGGTAGCTTACGCACTAGATCCGACTTCTGCCATCCTCTTGTATGTACGCACCCCGAATTCTTTACTTCTTATGTGTCATTTGTACCTACAATAGCATTGCTAGAAGTTAACGCCAACGACGTGAACGCTCCACTTAAAATTAAGTATGCCAAAAGGTGACCCCTGAATTGCCTGGATTAGAATTAGAGGTCGCAATAGTGCGTAAACAATATACGAATTAATTCAGTCAATCAGCCTTCCAAATCCGTAGTCACGGATCAGAAATCGGAGTGCGAAAAGCAATATCCGAATTCAGTCCGAGATTTCTAGATCCGTATTTTCAAGGAATCGTATCGGACGTAGTGTGAAACCGCTCTAAGGGTCGTGCACGTGTGACCGTGATTCACTATTCACAAAAAAACAATACTATGAGTTCAAATATGTTCTTAGTAATGAAAGTATTATTAAAAAATATGATAACTGTCTGTTATGGGTTCCGTTGGTAGTAATAAAAATTTATGAACAAAAAAGTATTAGGGAAAAAATTATGAAGGAATAATAGGAATATAAGATTTTAGTGTGATGACCCGTGATGTTGGCCAACAAGGCTGCGGAAAGGGAACAGTCTTCAAATTAGGAATCTTTAAATTAAGAAGATTACAGTTGAATATTACATTATAAATTACATTGTGAAAATAAACTTAGATATTATGTTAGTGTGAAATACAAGTAACACAACAAGACCAAGCCTCTAATTCGGAGTGTCTGACTTGGCATTTTTAATTAAGTAGTAAGCTTGTGTAAATAATTATTGTCTTGTATAAAAAAAATTACGTTTTTTTTTTGTTTGATGGTGAATGATATAACTATAATGTCTATAATTAGAATGAATGTAACCTGTAGAAAAAGTAAGTTTAGTAAAGTAAGTAATCGCCACTATGAAAGCACGTTGAATGAATAACTGTCTGCCAAGGTGCTTTTTATTTTCTGTATCACCTAACAACAATAACAACAAACCTAACAATGAAAGAGATAGAGTATAATAACGGATTAATACTTTGCCACACGATGTGGTTATATAAAGTACTAGCTCTTGCGTTATGCTCCTGCCCCACAACTTAAACTATGTCCAGATAAAATTTTATTTTAAATTGGTTCAGCGGTTATTGATTTCCCATACAAACTTCCATCCGCCGTTTTCACCAACTTAAAGGATGATTTCTTGGATAAAACCTATCCTATGTCTTTTCCCTGTACTCAAACTATCTCTACACCTCCGAAATGCTTTCGTGCTTAAATCCCCTCGTATACCACCCACCGGTGGTTATGTCTGACTCGAACCGACGAAAGGGCACGCGCGTTGCTTCTGCTATTGTGACAGGTGGCCGCACCGCCAGGCCTGCGCTCTCCCGGTCCCGCTCCACCATCTCCTTTGCAAGCATAACTTGCTTGCGTTCCGTACCATCGCGGCAATCATGTTACCGAGCGAGAGAATTCCCACTCCGATGGCCGCCACGAGGCAACGCCTCTGCTCCACCCACGCCGGGCATTCTGCCTGAGTGTGGAGCTCTCAGGCGTTGGTTCCTTGTGGATCAGACACAGGTGATCTTCGATGCGTCCTTTCCCGGTGATCACCTGCGTCAACCGGTATAAGAGGGTTCCGAGATGCCTTTCCAGCCAATCCTTCATAACGGCGATACGGCGATAACGGCGCGCCCAGCGCTCGGTTGCCCAAGTCGTTACTTCCACTCCTCCACGAGGACATTATCTCTATACCTAATGTCATCAAAATCAGTCCAGCGGTTTAAGCGTGAAAAGGTAACAGACAGACACACTTTCGCATTTATAATATTAGTATGTATGGGAGCAAAGCATTAATTTTCCTCATCTCTTTGAGGTCATAATCGAGTAACTAAAAGACAGGTCCTAATGCTCAAAGCAAGCTCAATACTATATCTGTAATTTACTGATTTTAGAGAAAGAGTATGAAAAGATGTCATACGTGTGGTTTACCAGATTATTGCTTGAGTTGCAAGTGCCTTTGTTCGACGGTGGTCACTTACCACCAGGGGACTCGTCTGCTTGTTTGCCCCCTATGCTATAAAAATAACAACTCCCAGTTCAAGAGAAATTCTACCCACATTTTCTTCTTCTATTACATTTTAATGCTTTAATTATCTTCATAAACTTTGTAAGTAATATTCTTATGATGATATTTCTATAAGCAAAGGTACGAGTATGAAATCATAGAAGTAATTTATGTTGGAGAAATATCTGAACAAAAAGCCACTAACTTCTTTTTGAATAAACATTACCCACGTAATTTATGTAACCTAGTTATATTTGTACGTAGTTAGGCCCGTTGATCGCTGTTTTGGCAGAACATTTTTTTTTTCATTGTATTCAGGTCTGAACAGGGTGTTTATTGAAATGGGGTAGCGAGTGCCCCACGCGCATGCTCTATTCATTTGGCCGGCCCGGTGCGACCCTTGTCAACTTCAGTGCACAGCTGAAGAGCTCAAGGCGAAACCTCGTGTGCTTTTTAGACTGTGTTGTACTAGGACCATAAAATCCTACTCTATTTAAAAGTAAGTGTTACTTTCATAATTAATAATAATTGGTAGTCTATGGACCATTAATTAAATTTCTAGTATGGTGAATCATCAATTTTGTAGAATTTCAACACATGTTAACCGTCACATAGCTCACTACTTTTATAAATAAGCGTACACCGATGACGGACACAAAAGGCCTATGACGCAAGTTGTCCAATTACAGCCAAAATTAAGATTTCAAGAGATTGAAGCAAATCTTTTTTACATGTCTGCATCTTTCGCAAAATGGTTACACGGCTGTTGACTTCATTTTAGAGTGATTTTTCAATTATATGCCATTAATCAATATTCGTAAATTCACGTTGTGACTTCGGAGTGACTTATTAGAATCTTATATGAATTGTTTATGGTGTTTATATGTATATAAACCGAGTTTAACATCAATCAAATTGAGATCTGGGCCCTCTAAGAATGTAGGCACCTCAAGGTATATACATAGTGTATTTTGTTTTACAGAAATGATGAAGCGAAGATCATCTAATCATCCTCATCTATGCGAAAGGCTATATAAAGATCACGCGTTGTGACGCACAACTCTTACATCAATTTCGAATTACATTATTTCTAATATTTTAAATGTTAAACTAATTTATTGATTCATTTAGACATAGTAATTTATGCATACAGTTATACCGTCAGCTAATTATTGTAATAATTTATTTTAAAATACATAAATGCAAGTTCGAAAATTGTAAGATTGTTTTTAAAAAGTGTTAAAAAATAAAATAAAGTATAGAGCGAAGCTTATTGTTAATATAGTAAAGTAAATGTTACGTTGAGTAGGTGCTAAATATGTTATTTTGTATGGAAATTCGTTTGTGAGTCTGAAAATTGGCAATCGAAACGATGGAGCCGTTTGCCGACGATTTACTATGGCTGGTAGTAAGCGGATTTGTAGTTGCGTTTGTCCTGGCGTTTGGTATTGGCGCGAACGATGTGGCGAACTCATTTGGTACCAGTGTCGGCTCAAAGGTGCTCACACTCACACAAGCTTGTATACTTGCCACGATATTTGAGATTGCTGGTGCAGTACTCATAGGTGAGTGACATTATATGCTATATGTATCTCTTTTAAGTACTTTGGCAACATTTTTAACACACTTTTTCATAAAAGTTTGACGTATACAAATGAAGGTTCCCTAAAATAATAAGAGGTTGTTATTACTCCAAGCTACTTATTTTATTGAATTTATACAGGGACCAACGCTCTTAGTAATTGGTTACTTATCTCGTGAAATTCGGGGAGGTGTCTGTTCTTATTGAATACTGGCTCGAAGGTGTGACAAACTCCAAGGGACTTACGCTTACAGAAGAATATATTATTTATTATACTCTCCACCATCATTAGCCTGCTGGTTTAGTACTCTAGTCAGTGGTTAGTGCTCCTGACTGCTGAGCTTGTGTACTGAGCATTTATTCTATGCCTAGGTATAATTTACTTATGGATTAGTGATAATAATAAATATTAATATTTTTTATGTGTGTGAGATAAGTGATAATACCTTTTTTTTTTTTTTTTTTTTTTTTTTCACGCGGGGAATGCTTTTCGCACCATACCCTCCGTTGGGGAAACGCAGGGCGTGTGTGGGACTCCCGGAGAACCGGTCTACCCACTAAACCCCGCGGCGGCCTTCCTCGGCAGTCGGGAGGAGCTCCAGGAACGCATTGGCGACTTCTGGAGTCCTCCCTGCCGTACCTCATGTCTGAGGCACATCCCGGAGTGACCGTAGTCACCCTAGGGCAGGACGCTATCGCGCCTCTCACTGCTCTACAGAGTAAAAGGCGCAACGGCGTCCCGCCTTAGACGAGACCCCCCCGGCCGCACCGGAGTGTCATCCGTCTCGGGTCGTTTACAGCGGTCACATCGCCCCAAGATGTGGCCGCAGTGACCCTTAGGCGGCGATTGGGGAGTTAGCGACCTCTGCCGCGTCCCCTTCGCCGCCTCCTTCGAGCGGGATCGGCCCTCTCCCGATCCCGCTCTGCGGCCTCCTTTTGGAGCATAACGTCCTCGCAGAAGGAGACCGCGGCTGCCCATCCCTCGCCACTCGCCAGCATTGCCGCGATTAATGCTGGCGGTGACAGGTTTCGTCCGATCTGTCCGACCAAGACTCGACGTTCGGACTCCCATGCAGGGCAGTCCTCCAGCGTGTGCTGGGCGGAGTCCCGGTCGGACCCGCAATGGTGGCATCGTGCCGTGGCCTCCCGTCCAATTCGATTCAGATACTCACCGAAGCAACCGTGCCCGGTAAGCATCTGAGTCAATCGGTAGGTGACACAGTCGTTCCTCCCTACCCACGCTTCGAAGCTCGGCAGAACGGCTCCGACGGCGCGTTGGCTAGCACAGCCCTGGATTACAAGCCGTGCCTGCCACGCTCGCAAAGCCTGCGTATGCGCGTTCCGCCGTAGCATTCCGGGCTCATGATCCGGCGCGGCCTCCTCACCATTCCGACCGACAGAACGGACTTGGTCATAGACCATCGCGTCCATGTCGGCCAGAATGTCGAAGGGTGGATATCGAGCCAGGACCGTCGCCGCCTCAAACGAGATGGTACGATAACCCCGTACGACCCGTATGGCCATCAACCGCTGTAGGCTTCTGAGTAGAGCCTTGCAGCGGGAGGCACCCGCCAAGTCATTAGACCAGACGGGCGCCCCATAGAGGACCATGGATCGCACGACCCCCATATAGAGACGGCGAACTTCTTCCCGTGGTCCCCCGAGATTGGGCAGCAGGCGATGCAGTGCACCCGCTACCCCGCGCACTCGGGGGACTAATCGCACGAAATGCTCTTCGAAGCTCCACCGACTGTCCAGGATGAGGCCTAAGTACTTCATGTACCGGCCCACCTGGACTTCAGCGTCACCCACCCGGAGGCATGAGCTGGGTGGTTCCTGGCGCTTACGTAGGCCATGGAACCATATCGCCTCAGTTTTCTGAGGCGCCACCCTCAGACCCAGCTCATGAATCTTTCCCACGACACAAGCCACCCCATGCTCGGCGAGCCGAAGCACCTCGTCGAAGTGTGACCCTCTAGCCAGTATTAAAGTGTCATCTGCATAGCAGACAACACTAAGGCCAGAGGGCAGACTGGTGCGAAGGACCACATCGTAAGCTAAGTTCCACAACAAAGGGCCTAAAACAGAGCCTTGGGGAACCCCGCAACACACCTGTCTCCGAATTTCCACCCCGCCCCGACCGATAAACTTCACTGTCCTATCGCGCAGATAGGCCCCAATGACGGCCCGCAGATAGAGGGGCACCTCATGAAATTCAAGGGCCGCCCTTATCGCCTGCCAGGGGAGGGTGCCGAACGCGTTGACGATATCAAGGCTAACCGCCAAAGCCACCCCCCCTGATCGGACTGCCGACTCCGACATGGAGCGAACGCACCTGATAGCGTCCACTGTCGAACGCCCCCGTCGGAATCCAAACTGGCAGTCCGACAGATCAGGGCCTACTCGCGACAGGTGCCCGCTGATACGATCGGAGATAATCCTCTCAAAGAGTTTCCCCGACTCGTTCAGCAGGCAAATCGGTCGGAACGCAGAGGGAGAATCTGCAGTTCTACCTTCCTTTTTCAAGAGCACCAGTCTCGCTTCTTTCCAGCCGAGGGGGAACACACCGAGGCTAAGACAATCTGTGAAAATCCGCCTCAGTTTGTCCCCCAATACCGACAGAGCTATCACCAGCGCCCGACCTGGAATACCATCAGGTCCGGGCGCAGTGTTGCGGGAAGCCAGTCGCCGCACGACTCGGTCCAGCTCTCCCTCCGTCACCTCACACTCGTCGGACCAGAGTTGCCGGTCCGATTGTAACGGAGAGATCAAGGGACTGTCCTGGACCCTTGGGAAGAGCGTGTCTACCACTCTTCCCAGGAACTCCGGGTCCAGGGTTTCAGTCAATGGAGGGACCCATGGTTTTAGCTTGCCCAGTACAATTTTGTACGGGCGCCCCCAAGGGTCTCTATCCACTCCCCCGATGAGTTCTTTCCAGGACCGAGCCTTGGCCTCAGCGATTGCATCGCTGAGAGCTTTTACAGCAGCGCCATATTCCCGCCGTGCTACTTCGATCTCCTCGGCTGTAGCTCGCCGTCTTCTCCGGGCTCGAAGATACGGGCGGCGCAATCTCGCGACCGTCGTTCTCAGCTGCGAGATCTCCATGCTCCACCAGTACGCCGAGCCCTTCCTGGCTGGCCTGACTCGGGGCATGGAGGCATCACATACGGACGCCATAATGTTCCCAAACCAGGCCGCCTGTTCTTCTGGATCGGACGAAACCCTTTCCTCCAACCAATCCGCCACGTGGGATGCGGCAACGACCATCTCTCGGTCAAGCCGCTTGAGGGACCATCGTCGCGGAGGTTCTCTATCCTGACGCGGGCGGTCAGCGCGGCGGAGAGACACATCGAATACGATGTGTCGGTGGTTAGAAAGACTGACCACTTCCTCCGCCACCCGCCATCCCGACACCATGTGCACTGCAGAGGGAGTCGCCCATGACAGGTCAACAATCGACTCCCCCTGCCATCGTACACAGGTGCTAACTGAGCCCCGATTTAGAAGTCGGAGGTCCAGTCCAGCCGCCCACTCCAGGATAGTCTCTCCCCTCGCGTCGTCCCGAGTGTCACCCCACTCCCTTGAGTGGGCGTTGAAGTCACCCAGGACGAATACCGGACGGGAGGCGTAGCTGCGAATGCAGATTGCCAACCCGTGCAGGTATGCCTCATATTCGGCTAGGCCACGATTGGGAGAGAAGTAACACCCCACCACCACTGTTACCCCCCACTCCACTGCCACGAAGCCAGCACCCTTTCTTAGGAGAGAGCAATGGAAGCCTTCCCCACCCGGCCAATAAATGGCCGCTGAGCCATCGACCGCCCCGAACCAACGCGGATGGTCCGGGACGGTATAGGGCTCTGCAATGACTGCCAGGGCAACCGACTGCTCCGCGAGCGTCTGGATTAATAGATCCTGCGCTGCTCGGCAGTGGTTGAGGTTGCCCTGGAGAACCCTTGCGTGTGGTGGGAATGTTAAGCCTCCATTGCCTCTCCCGTCGAGTTACAACTCGACACTGGCTGTCCAGATTGGGCAAAGGCGGGGCGAGGCTGAACCTCTCCCTCCTTTTGCTTCTTCGGTGGGCAACAGCTCTTGCTACCCAGCCGATGGTTTGCGGGCCGCCCGTGGTCACTGCACACCGGACACCTCGGTGCGTTCGCTGCGCAGTCTCGGGCCTTATGGCCCAATTCTCCGCAGCGAAAGCAGCGCCCACTCCTGTCAGGGTGACCTGAGCATTTTACCCTGACGTGTCCCATTTCAAGGCATTGGTAACATTGCAAGCGCCGTGGTGCCAATGCTTCGGTACGGACCAACGCCCAGCCCACCTGCACGCGTTGGGCGGCCGCAGCTTGGCGTACTGCTGTAAGTGGGCCCCGGACCCAAACCGTTCCCAATCGGGCTGCGGTTCTGCGTATCTCCCCGACCTTGATGTCGGACGGAGAGCAACCACCCACTGCGGCTATTGCCTCCGCAACCTCGATGGCGGTGATGGATTCGTCCAAATCCATCACCCGCATTTCGGCCGTTTTGCACGGACGCATAAATCGCGCATCTGTGTCGCCCATGACCGCGCGCAAGCGTTCGGCCAAAGCGTCCGCTTTGGCAGCGCTATCCGGCCCGGGGACCTCCAGTACTAGGCCCCCTGTGACTGCCTTTCGCTGGCGGACCCCGCCCGTAATGCCAAGCTCCGCCAGCTTAATACGGGCTTTTGCGGCCTGCATTACTTCCGCCAGTGAGGTACTGGATCCCGGAGGCACTGCGACCACGACGGCAGCATTGGTGGGGGGTCGCGGTAATTGCGACTTCTTTGGCTTCGAGACGGGAGTAGCAACCGCACCCTGTCTCGCAGCGGTAGCCTTGGCTTTTCTCCCAACAACTTGGGCCCAGGTGCCCCCTTCCTGCCTTACCGCTGGTTCCGGCAGGGTAGACCTTCCAAGACTTGAAGCCTGCTTCGTTACTGGGGTTAGTTGCTGCCCCGTCAGCCCCTTCGCTTTCTTTTTCTTCTTTTTTCTCTTCTTCTTCTTCTTCTCGGAAGGAGAAGAGAGCGCAGTGGCTGCAGCAGCCGCCTGCCGCACCACTGGAGTCCGTCCTTGGCCTAGAGGTGGTCTGGCACCTCTCTCTGGGAAGAACCTAGCTAAAAGCCCGGACTGGAATCGGGCAAACTCACGGTTCATGATTGCCGCGATTTCTTCCCAGTCCAGATGGTCCTCCCTTGCCGGGTGAGCCAGTGGCACTGGCGAGCCCATTTTCGGCCCCAGTTCCGCCATTGAAGAAGGCAGCGGGATCGTTCCCGCCACCTTTGTGGCCGACGATCTCCGCAGCACCGCCGAAGATGGTTCGTTCTCCTGTTCGAGAACCCTCACCCGGTCCACCAGCGACGATGATGACGCCTGGTTCTGCACGGACACCTCCTCGTACTCGCGTGTCACCGCTCTGTTGCAGAGCTCCTTAACGCCGTCCCGCAGAGTCTGCAGGGCTCGACGAATGGAGCTCATTACTTCCGCCTTCGTGCTGCGGGGTCTGTCCAATGTCTCCTCGACATTATCCAGACTTAGCAGCATTTGGGTGCCGACCTCAGCTGAGCTGGGCTGGTTTGCGTAACTGACACTGTGTGTCCGCTTCGCAAAACCAGTTCCGTCCTCATCATCGTGTAGACTACGCTTCCGCGACTGCCTGCGTGTCTCCCTCTCCGACCCTATTGAGGCTGAGCTATCGCTCTCTCCGCCTCGATCACCTCCGTCAAGCGGCAGCGGGGTGGAGGGTCTGGATAAAGGTGTTTTCAATGAACGCGACCGCAACCGCCGTTCGTCACTCTCTTTCGCCTTAGTCAAGCGCTTCTCCTCTCTATAAATTCTTTGTCCGTTTTCCATTAAGCCAATGTCGTTGGTAGATCCGTCCGTTGTTTTTGGTTTTTGTTTATCTGTGTTAAATTCCATATTTAATCCCACGAGTATGGGGGAAATGAAGTCCATCCGGGCGGTGCCCCCTGCACCCGGATAAGCCTATGTACTGTGGAGGTCGGCCGGTATCCACAGGTCTTAACGACTTCGCTGTCGGGTGTTATAGACTGTCCTTGTCATAGGTCGGCCAATTAAGGCAAGCCCTCCGGCCAACAGGTTCTCAGCGTACCCTCCTGGAGCCACCAGTTGGGTCGTTGCTGAACCTCTGTTGGTTACGAAATGCGAGAGGGTGGCTAACCCTCCCTCACCGGCGGCAGCACTAGTGCTTGTCAGCCCCTGCGTAAGCAGTGGGCCAACCCGCCCTTGGATTCCATACGGATCCCACCTCGGCCTCTGCCCATAACCCCTTCGCTCGTCCAGTCTTCTCTGATGAACAGAGAAGTACCGAGAGCGGTTTACCCCCCCTGCCGAGTTATTTGCCGGCGGCCAATACCAACCCCTGAAAGGGAAGTTATTGACCGTCGCCCAGGATGCACCGGCCCCCTGCTTCCGTTCCCCCCGGACACAGTGGCCATGAAGGACAAGAAACACGGTGACGCACGTGGAGGTTACCCGACCCGCACCCCAAGTGATAATACCTATACATATTATTATTCTGAGTGATCTTTAGGAACAGTTTTGAGATGACAGTTTTTTTTGGTAGGTATTTATGATATGGGATGACGCCATTTGAAACCACACACAAAAATTATTAGATACAATAATAATCACAACTTCACATATCTCACACACGGTCGTCTGATCTCAAACTAGGCAAAGCCTGTGCTATGACACCCACACACAGAATAAATGATCTTGTTCATCGGACAATTATTGGATAAGGTAGTCCGGCTTAACAGTCAGGGTCACTAACCCCTAGACCAAAAGTTAATTTATTATTCTCATAATTCTTTGTCAAAGTCGTTCCCTTTCAAATTTAAAGAAAATCCTTTTTCAAACTCAAACTAAACGTCTTTATTTCATAAAAGATTAAAATTATTTGACCGTCTCATGTGCAGACTCGAAAGTCGTAGACACACTATAGCAACTAACACTATAGCAATAATCTCTGTTCTGTCAAATATTTAGCAAACTAAATAAAAACGTATCGTAAATATATAAATCTCTTATAAGCCTGTGCCGATCTACAACCGCCCATTTCCAAGTGGTTGTGCCTCATGAGGAGAAAGAGCAAACAAACTCACGGCCACTCTTTTTTAATAAACAGATAACAATGGCATCATAACATATGCACAACATTGTTGTGATGTGGCCAGTATGTAAGTTAAGTAAAAAAAAAAGGTTCAAAACTAAATAAGTCGTTTTGATTCAAGAGAATAACCCACCAACACACAAACACCTGTTGCCTTGAAAACTTAAAAATGAATCTTGTAGACAATATGCAGATGTATTTAATTTCGATAGTAGGTTCGAGCGTAATAGGCACCCCTTATAAAATGTATTTACTTAGAAAATTACGGACAAGATATAAAATACTTAGATGTAGTCGTAACTACAGAACTCTTCATTGCGTGGCCCGACACGCACTTGGACGGTTTTCATTTGTTTTCATTTCAAGCCGATAGGCTTCGATTGGTTGACAGATAGACGTTAGCATCGTTTGATTATGGCACCGCTTGGTCGGTATTATTAATCCTGAATGGTTCTGGCGTATATTTGAACACAGTCTCAATCTGAATAAAAAAGTTTGATCAATACCGTGCTAACTGCTAAGCAAGGACTTGTCCAATGATAGTAGATTTGTTAAAGGTTTCACAAATGCTACTGAATATTTTTAGAACTATGAAAAGCTCATTCCATTGATTAGCTTTAGTTTGACTAACTTTTCAGATTACTTACAATGATAACTTTGTAATTTATAGTGGTTTTAGAAGAGGAAGACGAGATAGATTGGACACTAATTGATAAACTGAAAGCTTATATTTATTTAGTTCGAAGCTAGTCAGAAGTATTTATTTATGAATCGCATCTTTTCTTTCCCTGACGGAAAGGCTTTTCACATTGATACATTTCATAATAATTTAATCATTTATCCAGCTAATAAAATAACAAAATGTATTTAAAATGTCTAAATTGTTCAACTTCTATTTTTAGAAATTTATATAAATAACAACTTTAGGACATTTTAGGATTTATATTACGCGATGTCGTCTTAGTCGAATGACCTTGCCATGCCATGAAGAATGAAGGTTAGACCTTGCCATAGTTCATACGGTGCTAGGAACTTTACCCAAATCAAGGAATCGAAGTTGCCCTACGTGGAATAAACATTTAAGAACTATATAAAAAACTAATATTATTCAAGTGTCGTTGTCTGGGAGAGTTTTCTATTCTTTGAAAAAGAGTAGAAGGCTTCAGCAGTTAATAATGTAGAATTCATATTTTAAGTTACCATTATCTTACAGGTTATAAGGTGTCAGATACGATGCGTAAAGGCATCTTGGATGTGTCGCTGTACGCAGACGGCGGAGAGAAACTCCTGGCTGCCGGGTGTTTGTCAGCATTACTGTCGGGTGCAATTTGGCTAATCTTGGCCACAGCATTGCGACTACCTGTATCAGGAACTCATTCTATGGTGGGAGCTACGGTCGGATTTACACTGACAGCCAAAGGTCCTGTCGGGGTGCGCTGGTCGACACTTGGAACTATCGGTCAGTAAGTTTGTAAAATCCACTTATGGCTCTACAATTTACATTCCCCTATTCTCATTCAGTCATGGACTTCAATGCCCATGTATTTTTAACAAATTTCAAAAGAATATAATTTTCCGTAAATTCACTGACTTTGTTACGTAACAAAAGGCCTGAAAAACGCTAATGGTTATGGTTGAACCATTGTGCTATCAATTCGTTTAATAATGAAATACATCATAATAGATAATCACGAGAAAATTCTATTATTATAGCTGTGAAACTTCCAATTATGGATTCTCGAATTGTAAGTAGGTACGGTCCGCTTGATGTCACAAAATGTATGATCCATTAGGTTAATTGCCGACGTCACTACGTCAACTTCGAAGGCAAACATTGTGAGTCTCCTATGGAATTTTACCAGCATTTGAATATTGTGATGCTGAATTGCTTTTCGTGGACTTTATTGAACTTTCTAGAAAGTAGTCAAGATTATTTAGTTAAATCTCTAAAAATATACGTCTTACAGAATAGAAAAAATAAGTATAATCTATACTAGCTTTTGCCTGCGGCTCCGCCTGCGTAAATGTCGGTTATCGCATTAAAAAACATGTCTTTCCTCAAGAATCAAAGTATCTCTATACTAAATTTATCGTCATTCATTCATCTAAATCGGTTCAGCGGTTATTGATTCCCCTATACAAACTTCCACCCCCCTTTTCACCCCCTTAAAGGATGTTATCTGGTATAAAAACTACCCTATGTCATTTCCCGGGATTGGACTATATACCAAATTTCCTCTAAATCGGTTCAGCGATTTAAGCGTGAAGATGTAACAGACAGACATACACTTTCGCATTTGTAATATTAGTATGAATTACAAATTATGAAAATATCTAGATTACTTCCGAGAGCTTTAAGTCGAGAAATATTTGAGGTCATGTAAAATGGTGATATTACATGACATGTATTTGAAATACTTTCGCTTTTAAACTGCTGTTAGAGTATAAAAAATGTAAGAGGGTAATAAACAAGGAATTTTACGGATGTTTAAAAGTGTCTAAACATTTATTTTGTATTTCATAATAAGGAGTCAGTTTGTTAAAATTAATTTTAACAAACTGAGGCATAAATGTACCAGTGTGCATAAATGTGTCAATGTCCGTATAAAAAAATAACATCGGCATTTTTAATTATATTCTGTGATTTTAACGTACACCAGTGTCCAGCAGAGTCGCATCTTATAATTTTTAAACGGTAATCGTTTATTTGTCTAAGATACAAGTTTTAAATTTAAAGCACAAATTAAACGCTCAAGAAAATTTAAATCTTAAATACCTCACAACAAACGTAAAGGCTCACAGTCTTCATCATTTCATTAAATAAATACCTATTTAATAATTTTTTTAAAGGCTTACTAGCAATCGAAATTATTCGTATTCCCGTTAACCCCTCTAGCTAAGCTAAGCTAGCTTCCCGCTAAGCCTTGCTTGTGTTAGGAGTAGGTTCACTCTTGATCGCAAGTCCAATGCCTTAACCACTAGGCTACCGCCGCTTATATATTAATCATTTTCTTATCTAGTTATACAAATAAATAAAATTGAAGTGTCTGTTTGTAATGTCAAAACAGTAGGTTTTATCATGCTTACACGGTTATTTGCAAGAACCCTGTGCCTAAATAAAATATTTTTGGCCTGTCTGTCTGTTAGTTCCGGATAATCTTTAAAACGGCTCCACCGATTTTGATAATATGTTAATAGTTGAAAAATGTATACTAAAATGTATTTATTTTTATAAAATAAATAATGATAAAATAAAAAGCTACGAAGAGAGCCGCCGAGTCTTTCGGCGCGCGGGAGCGAGACCGAAAAATGTGTTACAAGACTTTTTTCTGATACTTCAGTTGGCGCGTCAACGCTCACATCTTTTTCAAATTTCATATAAATAGCAAACGTCCACCAAAAGTCGAAAGGAAATTTGTGCCGACCGGGGGTCCACGGACCCCTCATGCCGTTTTTCCTAGTAAAGAAGTCAATGATGATACTTGTAGTAATATATAGGTAAACATAGTTTGAATGGCAATGTAAAATTTTTGCATATTTCAGCTGATGATGTCTGTGTTCATCAGCTTGAACTAAAACCAATCTAATGCTTTGCTCATTTTAACGATTTATTTATCTACTAATAATATGTTAACCTTTTGCAGTTTAAAGAATAATCAAGTGATTTTAACTTTGACAGTGTCATCGTGGTTCATATCCCCAGCATTAAGCGGTACAGCGTCAGCTCTCCTGTTTTGGTTGGTACGTCGGTTCATTCTACGGGCACCTCAACCAGTGAATGCCGGTCTTACCGCGTTACCTTTCTTTTATGGAGCCACGATCGCTGTTAACGTGTTGAGCGTGGTACATGATGGCCCCAAGTGTAAGTAAGCCGGAATGTTAATTGTTTCACTTAATGTGTACCGACGTCATGCGTGTGGTGACGGATTAAGAATACGAACTATTCGTCCCGTGGGTGTTGTAAAACCCGACTAAGGGAGCAAACTACGCAAGACAACCGTTCCTCGCAGCTGACTGTTGTGACGGGTGGAGGATAAAACCTGTCCCGTCCACCCGCGGCCACACTCGGGGCGGCATGAGGCGCTGGTAAGCGCTCCTCTTCCTCCGCGTGGAGATTAGCCACCCGGGCCCTCTCCGCCCGGGTGGCTAATCTCCACGAACAAAATCTTTCACAAAACTAGTACTAAAAAAAACTAAAATATACATCAAAACCAAATTATTATTTTTGTCACACAAATAACAAAATAAGTGTTTTTGCAACATGTTTTCTATTAATTATCACAAAATTCGCTCAACATAATAAGGCTTAAAATTTCAGATAACGTTCAGCAAATTGAAAAATCATTATAGCGAAGCATTACTTTTTATCTTATACGATATAGCATTATTTTTAAGGTTTAAGGCGTCAGAAACGAAATGCTTACAGAAGATATATAAGGTTAGGTTGAAATTGCGACACGCCTAGCGTTTACAAAACATCTTTTTGAGAACGCGGCATTGTAATATTTGTCAATTTAAGGCACTTACATAAATAAAAATAGGAGCTCTGTTTTAACAAAAATTAATTACAAATTTTAAGGAATAGCAATGCATCACGAGTTCAAATTGTTGATAAAATAATAATGTTTTTGATTAGGATTGGGATTTTTTGCATAAAAAGAAAGGTTTTTTTATTTACAGGTAAATACTAGCCTTTATAAAATAAATATAAAAAGTTCAGGAGTGTGACTAATTGATTTCTTTCCTGGTTTAGTGTTGGGAATGGACAAGATTCCTCTTTGGTTAGCGTTGGTATCCTCCATGGCATTCGGTGCCTTCGTGGCGCTTTGCGTACGGGGATTCCTTGTGCCGTACTACCGCCGTCACTTGACCGCACCGCCTGTAAATTTTTCCCTTGGACTATCAAATGGTATGGTTATTTTATCTGTCAAATTCGAAAAATGTTTATAAAAGTATAGTAAAGCGCAGTATTTAATGAAGAATTTTGATTATTTTAGATACAACGCCTGCAAATACACCCACACATTCTAACAAGAGCAGCGTGCCGCAGCGTCCGACTTCTCTTTTATCCGAAGATGGGAAAGTTCTGGAAGCTATAGAGGAATGTGCCGAGATGGTTACTCTGAGTGATGCTGATAAAATCTCAAACGGTGTGAAGGAAATGAATGCAAGGAATCGAGCTTTACTCGCCACTATGGACGACTGCAGTATCTTGTCCAGAAGCCTGAGTCCACCTAATAAATCACGGTTACAGCTGATAGATGCCGATCCCCAGATAAACACCTTGAAATATATAGACGAAACATTGAGTTGTTGCAAGAGTTTGGACTCGACCCAAATGGCCGGTATGGGAGAGAGCTATGATTCCAAGAATGGATTTTTGGGTGATTCTTGTGACACAATAGCGCGGTGCGAGTTCGACAGGTTGGCTGCGGCAAGGGCAGTGACTTATTGCGTCGAGTTTGAAACTCCACCGCCCCGTATCGATAAGGTAGGAATTTAAGCGTTCATCATATTTTCTATTTTATTTTACTTTAAAATACATAGAAATGACAGCATATTACGTAGTAGGTTTCGTAATTTAAAGTAATTTCTCCGTTCCTCGAGAGCTCTCAAGCCTCTTTTTCTAGGTGACATTTTCCCTGTCTTTATCTGTAAAGTCCCTACGCAATGTTCAAGCAAAATTTCATGATGACAAAATACAGATAAACATGATTTTTGATATACTTACACATATATACATTATATGTGCTCTTAATAACCACTATAAAGAGATAGTTTTGCGTACGTATTCTCGCAACGAAGCTGATGTCTTTGACTTTTAAAAGGAGCTCCTTTCAAAAGTTCAGTTAAAGTTTAGCTTAGTGGGCCTTGATTTCGAGATACGATAATTTTAAAACTGACAACTACTTTTCAGGCTCCTGAAATAGGTAGCGCTTGGAGCATTGAACGTTGCGGCGGTAGTGACTCACTAAGTAACGTGCGTACAACCGCCATAACGCCTAACTCTAGTGCAGCACCACTCTTGCGAACCGTAACACCGCCACCTGCACCTCCACAACCTCCTCCGCCTGATGCTCTACGATTATTCTCTTTTCTGCAAGTTCTCACTGCCACATTTGGAGCCTTTGCTCATGGTGGCAATGATGTCAGGTAAACATTAAAAATACTACTGTTAAGTACTTAATTTAATAAAGAAGGCGACTGTAAGAATGTACATAAAAACTATAAGAAGTGCTGTCTGTCAAACCCCTTTTAAAAGAAGTGCCAACTTCATATTGCTTCTCATGATCAGGCCCCTAATCAGGCTTACTTATTATTTTCTCATATTAACAAACCTTTATAGCTTTAAATAGTATGTTACATGGGCAAGCCACTGTATAAATACGACGGCCATATTGGTCTAGTGGTTAGCTATCCTAACTTCTAAGCCGGAGGTCGTGGTTTCAATTCCCACCAGGACAAATATTATGTGATGAGCAGTATGAGCACGATCATTAGTTCTGTGTCTGGGTATAATTTATCTAAAATATGTGCGTGTTAGAAATATATGTTTGTTTATTTAGAAATATATTATATGCGCCATAGTGTACAATGCCTTGCTCCTTTTAGGTAAATGGGACTAAAGATTGCAGTCGGCAAAAGTGATGTATGCATAAATACCTTGTTTTATTTTTTGTACAGCAACGCAATAGGACCTTTAGTGGCTCTTTGGCTCCTCTACTCTGAAGGTGGTGCTCAGTCCCGAGCGGAAACACCTCTCTTTATCCTGGTGTTCGGTGGCGTGGGTATAGCGCTTGGCCTCTGGCTCTGGGGCCGACGCGTCATTCAGACCGTCGGAGAAGATCTCACGAGCATTACACCCGATACGTGAGTATATTGGAATAGTAATTATATTATTTATCATTAATTTTATGTGCATAACATAGGAAAAATTTGTTATTCTGCATTTGAGTGTATTTTATAGCAGTGTCAAGCGACAAGAAAATAAGGCGTAAAAACCCGATGTGTGTGGGAAAACAAATGATTTATTAAACTTTTTGCTTGCCAAAGAGATATGATGATCTTGATGATGATGATGACGTATATTGATCCTTTTGCATTGTAAAATGACATTTAGAAAAAAACCGTAATGTTAGGATATTATTAGAAACACTTTATGAACTGTTATATTAAAAGGACAGTAATTTATTTTCAGTGTGGTATGACATTACCAGACATTACCTATATCATAATATTTTTTTTTGTCTTTATGACGGCGTCGCGTTGGAACATTTTAGGGGTTTCACGATTGAACTGGGTGCTGCATTGACTGTCTTGGTGGCAAGCAAGGCGGGCCTGCCAGTCTCCACAACGCACTGCAAGGTTGGCTCCGTCGTTTGCATTGGATATTTCTCCGAGAAGGCTGTTGATTGGAGTTTGTTTCGGTAAGATCCAAGTTTACTCTTGATCAGTAGAATCAAAATCAAATACAAACAAGACTGTGAAAAGAATATATGTTTTTATGGTACTTATCTTATTGCTATATAATTGATTATAGTGATTAGTATCGGTTTATTTTTTCATTTTGCATGCTAATAGAATATACTCTACTTATTATAAAAAAAAAATTCGTTTTATTAATATTGACACATCTATTCGTTTTTTTTTTTGAGTTTCCTATAGGAAATCCATTTTATATAGTTCTGAACATCACCATGTGATTTGAGTTGGTGTTAGTGTATTACGTACATATTATTCATTATTTTTATGTATCATATAACTATGATCTATTGACCCATATATGTCTCTTTCAGGAACATAATATTTGCTTGGGTGGTGACAGTACCGGTGGTGGCAGCCATTGCTGCAGTAGCTATGTTAGCGCTGGAAGCATTCGTCGTATAATAAACTTTTATTATTTCACGTAAAATACTAGAATCTACTATTACTCTATAGTGGCAGAATAGATAATACGTATTCACAAATGTCTATAGTTTTCCTCTTTAACAGATTTTCGTAATATATCCACACCACGTCCACATTAATAAAACATCATGAATATATTTATCAAAGGACAAACCGGACGTCTTGGTGCTTTGAACACGTTATAAATGACCCTGTTCATTCTGAAGATCAACTTTAAATGCATTTTAAAAGCAAATTTTTGATATCGCAGGCTAACACAGGAATATGTACTTACTTAATTTACTTTTTATAAAGAGTGACTGATTTCTAGGAATTGAATATCAAGTTTAATTTTTTTTTCAACGTTGATTAGACAATGTATTATTTTTATAAAGTCTCCTGTTGCATATCTGTATGTTTGCTTATTGATGCCAATTCTTTTTAATTAACTACTGATAATAGTGGAAACAAATCTTGAAATCCATTTCTTGTTAAAAACATCTATTGTATTTTGAGGCGTGCTTAAGTCGTAAGTCATTCATCAATATAGTAGCCCGTTGTATTTTCACAAACTAAAAACATTCTTATCCGAAAGTTTGATTGGCTGTTTAGTTAAGTGAGAAAGAAAGATAAGCATTCTTTCAATCAATTTTGTAGCTAATCAGGGCCGCCACTAGCTGTTTGAGCGCCCGCGTGCAGTGCCGATGAACCCGCCTTTTTTCCGTGCGGAAATCACCCTACGGATAGCCGACCCACCTACGGATAACTGGGTGGTTAAGGATTTTATTTTGGTCAAGTTTTTTTAAATCTTTATTTCAATGAGTTTGGAAATCATATTACTTTATTTTGATACAATTATACCGGGGCACGTCGTGGAAGGTCGCTGGACGCGCCGCAGCAAATCGTGTCATACGGTTTCATCCTACGGATTAATTATGCCATGCGTCCCGCGAGCCACATAAGTCACAGGATTTTTGCGTCTATGAGCGCTTGGGCCCTTGTAACCTCAGTCACTCGATGAAAAGCAACAAAATAATTGATTAACACCGGTTTTCTGTGAGGCGTGGTATCACTTCGGTTGAGCCGGCACGGTCCGGCCCGGCCCCAAACGTGTAGTACTAGTAGAACTCACGGTGTGTTTGTTTAGTACTTTAACTTAACCAACGAAATAACTAAAAATGGTTATTTCGTTGCGTTGTATGCCGTGGAAGTGGGTGCGAGGGGTATATTAGCTAAATCCCTCTAGGTCGCAAGGAGTACTTTCCAAACTAATTCCTGGGTTGCAATTCCCAGGCGCTGTCGAATTCGCATGTGTTGCCCCCATCTCTTACGCGATGGACCCGGCACCCGCACGGTGAATCCGTGGAACGCTAAGAAATAGATCTCAAATATATTATGACATACATAGTAAAAATATAATAGACATGCAAATTATGAGAATGTTTCATTTTCGTTTCGATTTCTGTTTTAGCCGCCCCCTCGAAAATGCCGCCCGTATGCGTTGCACGCTCTGCACATCAGTATCCGGCGGCCCTGCAGCTAATCAGTTTTTTATAAATTTCTTGTTTAGCCATTGGTAGTGAATAGGATGGTTATCGATTAAATTTTTTGGAATTAAAATTTGAAAATAAGGTTACTATATCTTAGTATGGCTGTTAGATTAAATGTGATTCCAATCCTCTTAATAATAGACAGTGTTTACAGAATTTGAGTCCAAAAGTATTACAGTATTTAAATAATTTTACTGTAACTGTAAAAATTATTAAAAGTCTAGTCAATGTGTGGGTATTTAATCAAGACCGTCAAGGCGTTTCTTAAAAGTAACTAAGTACTCTGTATTGTTTATAATACTAAGTTCGCGTTGTTGCTATCGAATGTGGTCTCTTACTGATGTGATACGACTAGTCGCTCGCGATTATATCAACGATACGATTACTATTCCAAACAATTTCTTGCAATTGGAATGTGTTATTATGACCACTTTTTATTAAAATGCTTTTACTAATCCTGAGTATGAGTATATGACTGAGGCCTACAAAATATCTTTTACTTAATGCTTAACCTACTCATAGTTCAGAAAGACTGTAGGTACCAAAGTTGCCGGTACACGGCACTTGCATGTTAATTGGAAGACGAGCTAAAACATAGGACTGACTATTAGAATTAAGGATGAAAAGTGTATTGTGCACGATGGCGAAACGAAAAGGTTAAGCAGCTTTTTTTATGGTACAACCCCGGGCAAACGAGTAGACAGGTCCTGTACGGGTACAGTACCTGATGGTAAGTAACTCATATCATGCAAACAAGGTTTGTTTGTATGATCTGAGGCATGTAACTACCGCCGCCCAATGATACCGGCAACTTAAGATTCACATGTGCGTTGCCCCTTTTAAACGTTTATAATAACTCCTTCCCTGCTCATGTTGTAGGATATTCTTATAAGTTGCCGATTGAAAAATGAAAATCACTACTTAGCTGCCAATGCTGTTAGAATAGGTTGACCGTTTACTCGAAAGATCAAGAGTAATTTAAATAATAATGCCTAAGAATGCAGCTATTGACGGAGCAACTGAATCTTAGTACAAACTTTAATTAATGAAGGATTTCAGCCATTTACCTACAGCTAACTTGACGGAACGGAGCCTATAAGCATTTAAGTTCGAACAGCTCGCGTGTACAAATAGTTTACATAAAGTTATGTATGTTTTTTGTGTGTATCTGTAGGTTTTAGTTTCTTGTTTAAATATGATTGGTACTATGCAGTCTCTTAATTGGTATTTAGGTATGATACTTTACCGAATGCACACAACAGGGACTAGTATACTTAAAATTTACTGGTTTATGATACAATCGTGAACTCATCATTTTGTGTTACATTTTACTCGGATCAACAGATAGTCTACTGACATTACTACGTACCCATATTTAAAAAATATAAATCGGAACGATTCGGATGAAGGTGATGTTGAATCCGTCCGAATGAATGTATCTAGGTATGTATATTTTCCATCAGTGTACATTAACCTTTATAGGATAAACTTAACGTTCACGTGCAAAATATTTGGACCGGTACGAAATACTAATTTCATGTCAAACCAAAATATCTAATGATAGTCTACCAGCGAAACGACTATATAATATGTAATAGATGAAATTTGGATGCGTAGTTGTGCTGTCTCGTGCTTTTAAAAACGGTCGTCGCTAGTGGTTAATAAATTGTTTACCTTTAACTTATTTAACAATTTTACTTCGAGAAAATGTTCATTAGTTTACGTTTTGTACTGCGCCGTTCTAATAAACTAATGTGCCTCATTTATTTCTGACTCGCGAGTATTTTCATGTTAAATAAACATAGTTGGGAACATTGTGTTTTTATTTATTATCCCTCGTTACTACAGTTGTGTGCAGTGAATGTGAACGAGCTGCAAAATGTTCAATTCTCAAGATTTAAAGTTAATGTTTACTTCATATTTTGACTCTTACGATTAATTGTGATTACAGCCGAATATGAATAATTACATAAGACGAAACCTACATGCATATGCATGTATAATTCTCATGATAATTACCAGCTATTAATAGAGAAATGCCTGTGGCTATTCATTTATACTTAGATTGTTTTTTCATACCTCGTACTGACGTACTGTGATTTTGGCAGTAAATGTAACAGTCAACCCTGTTATCATTTAGTGAATAGAAATTGAATATAATTATATTCACTTTATATGCATACATTATACCTACCTATGTATAAAAAGCATTAATTTTGAACAAAAAATAGGTTGCGTTGCGGTTTTTGACTAATTTCTCTGAAGTCATATATTTATGTATTGTATTTATACATATTTATATCGTATTTTTAGTCATTTCAATATGGATATGAAGAGTGTTAATGCCAGAGAGCTCACAAGCTTCAAAACACATCTCTAGAAACAATCATGAAGTGTGAATTTAGTTACATTATAAGAAGATTCCGTCATTACACAGTGCCAATAAACGTTTTATTCTTAAACTTATAAAAATTGAATATGAAGTACAATAATTTAAATGAACCACTGTTTAAACTCTTTAAAAAACAGCAATGAAATAAATATTTTCTGAAATCAAAGTTACCACATATGATCAGGTGAGATGCCCACAAATTGTAAAGGCAGATGTATAATGAAATAATATTTTTTTTGGACAACTGAGACACAACGCCATCTAGTTTCAAACTAAGCAGAGCTTGTACTATGAAAGTTAGATTGAAAGAATCCTTAGATACTTTTTTTTTGTAAACCCATACTTATTTTATGAATGTGAAAGTGACTTTGTTTGTTTGTTACGCTTTCAAGCCTAAACCACGACACCAATTTTAAAAAATCTTTCACCAATGGAAAGCTCCATTATCAGCGAGTAACATAGACTACTTTTTACTGCGATAACCGACAACACGCGAGCGGAGCCGCGGGCTAAAGCTAGTACATATAAAACACTCAAACTCCGAAACAGACAGTAGTGACTGCACGGATGGCGTAGTGATATAGGCGATCATCTCGCCGCTTCCTACTGCACTGAGTGCAGTGGGTTCGATCCCCACTAGTCGGGGTATCATTGCGATTCTAGACGGCATTTAATGAAATCCTGAAACACTGAAAATTGATTTTTGAAAAAAAACAATAAAATTAATTGTTATTTTTTTTTAATTTGACGTACTTAAAGTTAATGTAAATAGGTACCTACCGATTCCAACTGGTTTCATCAAGATCCATTTTCGGCGATTTCGCCATTTTTGAAAAATAGGACCGGGTGCATTTTGTTAATATTTAATACCCAAATTTCAATGACATCTTTCCTCTTTTTTGGAACGAAGTTTCTTATCGCGCGTTACACGCTCTGAGCGGATGGTAGCGAGACCGAAAAATGTGTACTTTTTCCGACACTTCTTGCGGAACTTCGTACCGACCTAGGGTCCATAGACCCCTCACGCCGTTTTATTATCTTTTTGTTTTTCGTTTTTTACAACTTGGCTGCGTGTTTTCGATAGGAAAAAAATCCAACACTTTAAAATACTTTCTTTGATACCTACGTAAAATCATCAGCTGAACAACTTTTTTCGCTGCAATGCTTCATTTCCGAGATACTTCGAGATACCTGAAAAAAACTGTTATTTTGCAATAAAAAAGTATCTGCCCGACCATCTGGGAATGACCTTTAGTTTCCGCCAGATTTCATTAAATTCCATCAATAATCAAAAAAACATGTTTTTCAACCAGTGACAGTAAAAGTCTTTGATAAAGAGAAAATTCGAAATATTTGTTTTTGTTTGCTTAAGTTTTGATGGCATTAATGTGTAGACACCGAAACCCCGAAAAAAATATTTGCAGGTCACACAAACATTTGGTCCGACCCGGGCAACGAACCCGAGTTCTCAGCACAGCAGACAACAGTCGCATACGCTACCACCGCACAACCAAGACAGTCTAATTAACTAAAGGTGATGAAATACCTCGACAGCAAATTTAATCTACTAAAGAGTCTTTAATACCATGTAATGTGGTCAACAGTATTCCGTTCCCTGTAACCTCCAGGTTTAAATACATTGGCGAGTACAGCGAAATTTCTTATTAGAGCGGAGTACCTCCTGTTTTCATTATTCATTACGAGTGTATTTTTATTCAAATCTCTTTGACATTTCATTGAATTTATCAAAATACTAGAATTAACGCGATATTAAAATTTGACGAACATCTTGGTTCTCATTCATTCTAATGTTAAACTGCAATTTGTGCATAAATTGTTAAGATCAGTTCCCTGATGAAAATAGTAATTTCCTTATTTGCTTCTTTTGTACCGTTCACATGAAATCTCTTAGAGTGAGCTCACGTGACAAGGAGATTTAATACTTACTGTGAAGTAGTTACTTACTTTACAACAGGATGAATTTGACGCCGGGCGTGTGTCATTTCAATGAAACTCTGCCATGACATTGGTCAAACAATTTACCAATTAAATTAAATGGGTCCGACATTCATTTATGTTTTGCTAGTTTTATGTATCTACACATAAACCGGGTTTACGAGTATTTGTATGATTTGAATTGTATGGTACAAATTTATGGATTAATACCTATTTTTATATATTTATTATAAAATCGCATTGTGGGACCAAGCAAGCTTTCTCGGAGTAGACAACATGTATTAATAAACTGAACTTCTGAAGATAAACTTTTATTATAAAGTAGTAGTTTTTGGATCCGCCCGTGTGAATGTCGGTTATTGCGGTAAAAAGCAGCCTATGACCATCCTTAAGAATCAAAGTATAATTCCAAATTCCATTACAATCGGTTTAGCGGTTGAGCCGTGAAAGCGTAACAGACAGTAGTAGAGCCAAGAATCGTCAACTAGGTATTGAAAATTAAATCTAGCTACCTAGTACGTAGGATTGGAATAAGGTCCATAGTTTATTTATCTTGAGTATGCATTAATATCTTTATTGGCTATTGTCATATATTTTTCAAAAACTCCGACGCAAAAAAATGGTTGCATAGGTTATAACTTTATTCAAATCGAGCTTTGATGAATGATACATAAAATATTGAGACGATAAATAATGTGACCGTTTTGAATTGACACATTTCTAGCAAGCGACAAAGTAGTTCTGCTAGTTAAGTGACTCATGACTGAATCTGTTTCTTAAAGCTTTTATTATTACATATTTAGTTAATGCATAGTAAATTTGGGTTACGTTATTTGTGTGTTGTGTGGCTTAAGTTACCCGTCTTGCCGTTGACTGAATTAAACCGCTGAAATTGAAATTTGGTCACTTTTAGAGAAGAAAACAAGAATATCACCTACATTAGAAGAGGACTACGATCAAATACAATACGATCTAATAGAAGGGCTTGACTAGCTAAATGCAATAGGTAAATCCGAAATCCGAAATCCAAAATTGCTGCCATATTGCGTTTTCTCCTATGTAAAAGAAGTGTAACTAAAAATAATACTTTTATGTATAATGAAAAGTCTTTCCGGGTTAGTTCCACTACTTCATGCTCCTCTTAGTTGATGACTGATGACAAGTGCCTGAAGTAATTGAAATAATGATATTACAATATAACAAAAGTTTATTTTTACAACAACACAACATGGCTGTTTAAAATCGCATCAAATTTTAGTTTTAGATGACTATAGAACAATATACTAAATACAACTAGGAGAGAGATGGGCACAGTGGAGCTGAATTTTTCAAAGTGATTTATCGCACTAGTTTCTCTTCAAAAATCTTAGTTTTTTCCTAAAACATTTGTTAAATATCTAAGTTTGAAAAACAATGACAAAGATAGCACTTGGGAAGTTCAGTAATAAAATATATGCATTTTTTTAAATGGTGCGTGTTTCACTGTAAGCCATGAGTGGGTAACGCTGAATCAGGGATCAGAGTACAATAGATCGTACACGGTTCACTGAATCATAATTAAAAACAGCTTTTGAATTTAATTCTACTTTAATAAAATGCTTTTTTTTTATATATTAGAAACTATTTGGACTTCAAAACAGTCTTCTAGAAAGTTTCAGTACAACAAAATATTATTATTATTATTTTTTCACACACAAAACATTATATTTATAACCACAGAATTTACAATACAGCAAAAGAATCTCTCCCTGCGCTGGTAACTTTCTCTGTCCCTTAACAGCTAATTAGGGTATAGACCCTTGTTCCATTGCCAAACTGTTCGTAGTTGCAGACAGCACATAACGTTTTCGAAATTTAAAAAAAACATCTTTACATTGTGGCGATTGAATTTCGTGACCCAGCTCAAATTATCTTCCCGATCAGGCGTTCGCAAGATAACACGGGGTGCCTGTCTATAAAACTGTATAACCGTTCAACCCCTACCAGTTTAGTGTGATGCCATTTTTGTGGCACTTGCAAATTATGTTTAATTGCTATTTACTGTAGTAATTATAATTTTTATAGCAGTGCAGCAGATAACATGCTTATCTTCTGTGCGAAGACCGATATTGGTTTCTGGTTCTCTTTTCTATTTGGTGACATTTTTCTAAAAATAAAAAATGAAACTGATCGAAGAAAACGATCCACTGTGACAAAATGTAAATTGATCCGCATCGACAGGAGATCTTAAAAAAAACCACAAAATCCCACTTTATAAACTACAGAATCAGAAAAAAAGGCATCCGGTGTACTGCCACGTGACCTTATGCTTTGAAACTGAGACGGTGACTAGTTTGGAAGACAAACAAGGGGTGTCGCAATGTCGCAAGCGCTCATGTAATACAAACAAGACTATACCAAAAGATCCACTGTAACCCGTGATCCACTGTTACCCGCCTCCCCATACATTTTCAATAGCACTTCCTTCATATAATTTAATTTGTTTATCTACAAGTGAACCGAACACCTTCTCAACCATATGACGTCATCAAATTCTTAAAACTAATTTAGAAACTTATCGCGCTCGGTTTAGCAAGATTTACTGACGCAGAATAGGTGACATACTTTCATACTTAAGAGTCACTTGAGATGTCAAACTCAACTTTTATAGTTTTGTTATTTATAGATATTTAGTAGAAAAACCATTAGGTTTGGTTATCCTGGCGCAGTTTCAGCATCAAACATTGATTTATCAGGGATTAGTGACATCTGGAATTATATTTTAAGTTGGTATGGAGCGTTATTAGTTGTCATAATTGGTTATTGTAAACCGGAGTCTTATTTTATTTAACTCGTCGATATTTCCATGTACCAAATGATAGACATTAGTTTTACTGAGTTCATAAGTTCATATTTGGTTAGTGTACCTTCTACCTAACAGAAACTTTTACGTTTATCCTCTTCCTGTTTCTGCTTTGTTATAAACACACACAAGGCTTGGCCGATCTTTTGTAAAAATGTTTTTTTGGCTGAGATTGAAATAAAAGTAACAGAAACCCCTCATCTTTAGAAATTCTGTTTCTAAAGAAACCCCTCATCTTTAGAAATTCTGTTTCTAAAGATGAGGGGTTGTTATACTTTAGATGTTGACTACTCTTTTTCTGTCAATAATTAATTCTCTGTTTTTAAGTATTTTGATTTTAATCAGACCTAATGCTTATAAGTATTATTATCTAAGAGCCTTTGTGGGTTGTGGTGAAATGTCACTATATTTCTGAGTGTGAGTGTGTGTGAGTGCGTGTATTAGTGTGTATGTGTGTGTGAAGTTATTATCAACATTGAGCATAGTTTAAACCAACAAAAACTTCTCAGAAAAATACAAGTTGATCTTAAGCCGTGGCGCCTAAACTTGTAAATGAATATTCCGCACAAAAAATACAGGTACAAGTGGCCAGATCACAGAATATTTTTTTTGATGCCCACGAAAAAAAAGAATTGTATGCATTTGTATTTTGAAGAGCGTGCGAGTGTGATAGGGATATGAAAAAAAGTAGGTGTGGAACGGGTTATCGTCTGCGGTATTTCCGGACCGATACGACCTTCAAACCTTCAAGTAAAGAGCGTACTCCTTCCTAAAAGGCCGGCAACGCATTTGGGACTCCTGAGTTGCAGACGTTCATGGACGGTCACTTTCCATCAGGTGACCCGTCGGCTCATCTGCCCCCTCTAACATAAAAAACGATGATATTACTAACGTTACGTTTCGTTTTTTTTTCCTTTAGAAGAAAGGAAAAAAGAAACACAAACAAGACAAGTAGGTACCTTACATATTTTGTTCCTTTTTGCTATATTTTGCTTCACAAATTTAGGTCACTGTGAAATCAGTAGTCATATGTACGTTATAAACATTAACAATGATTTAAAAAAAAACTTCTACCTACTAAAATCTATCTCATATTCTTTTTTTAATATATATAACTTTATTGTATACACTTTAATAGAAAAGAAAACAAAAGATGTGTTACAAATAAGTAAACGTAACCATGCGCGGTCTTATCGCTCACAGCGATCTCTTCCAGACAACCTTAACACGGATTTTAGGTATTTAACAATTTAGGGTAGTATACATACACGTAACACAATATCACGTGAATATTTAAAAATATTCATAAACATAAACAAACACATTCATACACAAATATACATCTATGGACATTACACATATACAAATACTCATACATACATACACATTTAGCATTTATTCCCGCATTAGGAGTACATCCTGTGTCGCGGGGACCCCAAGAACATACATGAAATGGACACAAAGAACACCCAGACACAGAACAACAATTTGTGGATCACTCAAAGTGTCGTCTCATGTGGGGCTTAAACCCACAACGGAGCGGAGTGGCGACCGCTTAAACCACTACACCATCCCTGCAGTCTATAAGTCTTTTTTGTGTGATTTTGCAAGTCCTTATGCCTGCGTCTGTAATTTTTTTTTTGATATTGTGTTATTTAATTTTGTGTCATTGTTTGACTTCATGCGATTTTTGAGACGAATTTCCTTATCGCACGTTACACGCTCTGAGCAGACGGGAGCGAGACAGAAAAATGTGTAACAAGACTTTTTTCCGTCACTTCTTGCTATAGTACGCTTAGATCTTTTAAACTAAGCAACGGATTTTAATGCGGTTGTCACCCATAGAGAGAGTGATTAAAGAGGAAGGTATATAATATACTAAGGAATTGTATATCTTAAAAATATCTACATAAAAGTCCGAGATGGTATATGTCTATCTCCTAAGGATAACTTACAGTATCCATTTTTGTCTTTGAAAAATTACAAAAAAATAATGGGTTATTTAGGAAGCTATTTTAAACAAAACCTTATTATTCCTTATCCAATAAATACGTTTAATATGTTGTGCATTTCATGTAGATTAAAATTGCTCTGTACAGAATATCATTAAAATGAATATTTCAGAAGATTTTAGCTCCCGGGTGGCAGTGGCCGCCAGGATCTGAACGGACCCATAAAAATATTGTATTTAAAACTGTCCTGTAGTATTATTATTAATAGTCCTATAATTAATGACTCCACACTAACACAAGATTCGTAGTATCTACCGGGGTCGAAGCCAAAGTATTAGTTAATATTTAATACAATTACCTACTCTATAATAGCCAATAACATTATAATAGTTTTAGGTGTTTTAATATGAAAATACAATTTACAACAATAACACTCATTTTGTATGTGGTTAAGTAACATTCTTAATTTTAACTTTAAAACTTAATGGTACTAATTTTAGTTCTAAGTTTAGTCCCAAGTGGGGTTCGACTTTCCATTGACGTCCGTCGAGTTAGAGGTTGAAATTTGTTTACAGAAAGTTTACATTATTATAAGCACACACACAAAGTTTTAACATGCGGAGATGCGTAGTTTTTGAGAAAAAAATATTGTATTTAGCAGTAGTCATGTTCGACGGAGTCCGCAAATCCGAATCCCACTATGTAGATGTAGTTGCGAGAGTGAGATAGAATCTGAACAAAAAATCAACACAAACAGCCAACAGCAGGCTTGCTAGGCCAGCCAATAAGTCAAACGAGTCAGTCAGTCAGTACATCTACAGGTTTCTAACAGTTGGGTGCGTGTTTAATTGAGAGGTGAATAGTATTTGGCATCTCTTGCGGTGGCGGTGTAGTGAATAAAAATCGAATAATAATCAAGCAAAACAGGTTTTCAATCCTCGAGGATTTGGAGAAACTGTAAGTCAGATTGTTTTAATTTAATGCATAATGTATCAGTGATGCATTTTAACCTTGATATAGCAGTTTTTTTTTATTAAATAGTGTTTCTTGTACAAGATGAAACTCTTTTTTTGTATAATGTTGATGTTGTGAACAAATAAAAATATCTAGCTTTCAATCCTTAAAGTTCATAGTTTAGTTTTATATTATAATAATATTTTACGGGTGCTTATAACCTACCTACTGAATTATATGGTGCCAAGCTTAGATTTCTTTATGTAAGGCTCAGAATAAATAAAATGAAATATAAAAAAATACGAGTGTCATGTTGTGAGTTTTTTGTTAGTTGTTACCATTGAGTTAATATATCAATGGTTGTTACCCCAAAATAAAATTTGAGATAATAAAATACGGGGATTTCTACTTGTAACTTAAATAAGTACCTACAAATCATCGTCGTGAACGTGTTATTTAGGCTTTAGTTGATCTCTACGTAGGTACCTATATGTTTATGTTTTTTCTGTTTTTGAAAAAGTCCTAAATAAGTACGAGTATTTGATATTACGGCTAATACCTACTTATCATGTTTGCCTTAGGCCCTTCTCTCAGCCATAAAAAAATCAATCTAAATATTTGATGCACAATATCTTGTTCAAGCCTAGTAGGTATGCAATAGATTTGTTACCATTCTCCTTCATTCGATATTCATAAATTATTACAGACTTCTATAGGTAGGTGTATGTACAAAGAGTAGGAAGGAAAGCCAACTAGATAAATAATCTACTATCCCATAAATACTATCCCATAAGTAATTTATTGTTAAATACAAATTGGTCGTACCTACCTACCTGTGTATTATTGACCTATAACATATTATGTATAAACATACCTAATTTAAACATACCTACATATAGGTACATATTATTTATTTAGATATTTAACCGCTAAGATACATACGTATACCATTTTAAGTTACGACGCGTTCTTTTGGTACCTATTCCAACTTTCTACACAACTATTTTGTTTTCAGGTACTCACAGTACAAAATGGCTTCCGGTCCTGGACTACACCCTGGGTGCGATTTTTTTAAATAATTTAGAAACAGGTTGTGAGGCATACAATGAATCTTCTATTCTGTTACTACGTAGTACGATACATGTTAATTAAAATAACCACCACCAAAACGCAATCACATTAAAATTAACATAAATAAATATACATTTTCATAAAAATTACTTAATCTCTCACGAGCACGAGTGGATCAGGCTGGCTGTCTTGACACCGAATCAATACCTTCTAAAAGTTAATGGTATTAATTTAGCCTGAATTTTTTATTGTATAAATTCTTGGATTAATAGTCTTTATCTACCTATTTATTTATGTTAACTTGTAAAATAAGTTAATTTGAAATTTTAGTTTTGGTATCTTGCCTAACCGATTTCTTATATTGTATGTATGTATGTACCTATGCTAAACTTATTTAAAGTCCATCCTCTTAAAACTATGCGTTCTATGCGTGTAAAAGAAACAGGTCGGGGAAACCCACGAGTTTAATCATTACCTTTTTTTATTGCACTCGAAAACAACAGCCTTTGAATGAAGTATGTATTAGTTTTATTTGTTTTTTTTTGTGAATTGGATTACTAGCTAGCAAATTAATTACGTAACTTGAAATGATATCAGAATAATGCGCAGTAGCGCGGCTCTGACATGACCCTTTACCAAAATGTCATTGATGTTTTTTCATTAACTTGTTTTTATTTTTGTGACTAAAATAATAATAACCTCACACATTTGACGCACGGCCGTCTGATGCCAAACTAGGTGAAAAAAACTGTGGTAAAAGTCTGCTGATAAATATACTTATGAATTTCTAAATCCATACATAGTATAGATAAATTACACCCAGACATAGAAGAAATGATCGCAAAAATCGCATCGTGTTTGCAAAAATCGCCCATTTTTACGCTATCCAATACTTTATAAAAGCAATTTATTTTTACTTATTAAATTTAAATATATAACTTACTAGCTGACCCGCGCAACTTCGTCTGCGTCTCTCAATAGTAATAAATTTTCTCCGGTTTTGAAACATTCTTCATTGGTGCTCCGATCCTATTGGTCTTAGCGTGATGATATATAGCCTATAGCCTTCCTCGATAAATGGGCTATCTCACACTGAAAGAATTTTTCAAATCGGACCAGTAGTTCCTGAGATTAGCGCGTTCAAACAAACAAACAAACAAACAAACTCTTCAGCTTTATAATATTAGTATAGATGTATACTTTTGTAATCCCCTTTTAATTTTCTTGGTTATGACACCCAAATATACAATACTAGTTTACAAAAAGCCGCCATTTTGTTTTTTTCTTTCAAAAAGCCATATAACTTGGTTTTTTTAGTCAGAAAAAAAACAGTACCATAACCGTCTAAATCTATCATATAGAAATCTAAATAATAAGACTTATTCAGTCTGGTTACCATAATCATACGAGATAGCTACTGTAATCCATTGAGGTGTTAATTCTCATGGCTTCTTCGTACTAAAAATTCCGACTACAAATCGTTATCAGGTCAACCACTGCCTTTTATGGTGGGCTAAGTTTCAACAACAAAAGACATCGTAAGTATCGGTTGAACTTTGATTATCTAAAATTAGTTTTAAGTTCAGATCAAAACTTAAGCGTCGCGTCGATCTTAGTATAGAACGCGAGTTTTACTCATTAAAAACTACTCTCAAGCATTGATTTAAACTTACAGTCTTTTCTCAATTACGTTGCCGCATGATCGACATTGTTATTCTGTATTATAATATATATAGTAGTATATATATTTAAAAAAATACAAACATAATTTCTGTGAATTTATTGGATTGTGTAGCAATGTTAACACATTAATAAGCTTGTTGTTCGTCCAAAATTAAATATAATTTATTACCGAGCCCTGGGAAATCGATTTCGACCCCAAGGTGTCGATATCGACCTCTTTGGGAAGCCTTGCTTTAGGTGAATTTGTTTGTCATTTAAAACAGGTGTAATCTGAGATATCTGGTTATTATCGAAATGTGGGTTGATTTTAGAACTTCTTTCATGTTATGTCGGTTAAGACAGTAGATTATTGTTATATTATTGGTAAATTATTAAGTTAATCCTGTTACAAAAATAATTATGGTTGTTAATAAAACAATAATTATAAGGAAAATATATATATATATATATCTTTGGTGTGGTTTGGATTTACAAGGCGGTTCTGTAAAAACAATTACCAACCGGTTTTCCTTATGCGCAAATTCATGTAGCCCACATCGACAGCAAAGCGTTTTACACAGACAACATAATTATGCAAGTTCGCAAGAGTCAAAAAATACTGAACCGTTATTATTAAAAAAGTGTGTGTGTCAGGTCCGACGCACGACTGGAGTTTACTCGTTAAGAACGATTCGGCTGCACACAAGTATACATGTTATCAAACTCATATCTCTTAAGGACCGTCGTACTATCTCTGACCTGGTATTCCTATACAAACGGTTCCAGACCTCCTCAGTAAAATAAGTATAAGTGTTCCACTAGAATCCCACGCTACCCTCGCCCACTATTTAAGATCCCACGGGTCCAGACGAATTTGGGGTAGCAAGACCTAATTGCTAGGATGACTCACGAATATGACACCATTTCAGTTCCTTCGGTGGTCATAGACATCATTTCTAATAGTCTGGCTAAATTTTAAAAAAAATGTTCGTACTCATAAATTGCACAATGTTTCATTGTTACCTGCCATTTAAAAATTAACCACTATTGATTTCCTATTTTTTGCACAATTAATTGTTGTAATTCTTTCATTAGTTTTTTTTCATCTACAAAAGCCTCATGAGGCCACTGTTTGTAATCTTTTTTTATGTAATGTCCAAGTTGTGGTCTTCTACATATAATTGAGGAAGCACAAGACTTAAATTTTATTTGCTGTAAAACTAGCATGTAAGGTGTAATTCTTGTTGGAGATCCTATAAAATAAAAAAAATATAAAAAAATAAGTTACACACATGTGAAAGGTGCGCACGATAGGTTGCGCACAAAATACCTAACGAGGTCATTTTATCACTAAACTATATGAAAATCTATTCTTAAGGAGTAAACTCCAAATAAATAAGTTTAAAAAAACTAAAATTAAAAACACGCTTTTATAGAAAATCCAACTAAAAAACAGAAAATAAAGTTTAATAAATTTGGATTAAGAATAGTGTAAATTTGATTAAGTTTGATTAAGTACAGTGTAAAAAAAAATGAATGTACATTATTGTAAAAAAGCGTGGGGTGCATCTGAAGTGCTTTTTATGATATTATCAAAGTGATGATTTTTCTACTCATCTGACAATAAATGTTTATAACTATTGACACTATGCACCCCACGCTTTTTTACAATAATGTACATTCATTTTTTTTACACTGTACTTAATCAAACTTAATCAAATTTACACTATTCTTAATCCAAATTTATTAAACTTCATTTTCTGTTTTTTAGTTGGATTTTCTATAAAAGCGTGTTTTTAATTTTAGTTTTTTTAAACTATTATTTATTTTTCATTTTTTAGTTAAATTTTTTGGTTTTTTCTGTAAATCACGGTTATAAATATATTATGGATATTATAAAATGGTATTAGATTTGTCGGGACATATTTGTAAGTATAAGGAACAAGACGCAACTACCATATTAGTTTTTATAAGGTTGTGCTGAACTGAGTGCCCGAAAGAGCAAGTCTGGAACTGCACGCATGCGTAGTTCGCGCACTAGCTCGGTCTCTCTTACACGCATGCAAAGGATGCGGAAAGAAATTAATTAATCCTGGCGAATCTAATTAGGATAATCGGATATTTTGATCGGATTATTGCATTGTCATCGACCTTTGACAGGTGTGCAAAGTTTGAATCAAATCTGATCGTTCAAAGTAGGGCAAAATCGAGCTCAAAGGAGTCGGTTACATACAAACAAACAAACAAACAAACATACAGGTGAAGCTAATAAAAGCGTGTTAAAAATATTCATAGGGATAGAAGTATTTATGAATGAAGTATGTCTGTATATGTGTGTCTATTTAACACAATGGTGTAGGTATACAACTTATTGCATTCACGGTGTACATACATTTAAAACTTACACTACTGCTCATAATAATTGGCGACTTCACGATAGTTATACCTATAAGAGGATTAAAAAGCAAGAATCGTCGTGACGTAACAAATTACAAAATTATCTGACCCTACTTTTTTTTGCTATGCACAATTGTTGCAGTTTTGTTAAGTGTAAACAATGTTGTTATTATACTCAACAGAAATGTACCTGGGTACACCACAATCCCTTGTTCACTCGGTGTCAAATGTCAAAAGATTGTTTTTATGAAATCGGTTAGTCGCGCGTCGTTGGCAAGTCGTCTTGTTTCGCTGTATTAGAGAGTAGATAAATTTTGTATGTAGGTATGTATATATCATTATTGTGCAATATGAAGGTTTTCGATATTGACTGAGTTCATACATCAATTTCGAGATAACAATTATCTAAACCAATAAAAATTATGTAGTTGTTAGTAATATCAAAATAACAGCTTTTTACGACTTGCATTTTTGTTATAGTTAATATCTAAAACGGCTGGACCGGTTTCCACAGGATTTTCATCAGTGGGTACATAGCTGATATTGTAAAATGTAAATTTACTTTTGTGTCATACCTATTTCATTTTATATATACCTAAGTAGTGACTAAAAGTTTACAAAATTATAACCCTATACTTGTAGGGAGAAACTTAAGGTTAAGTTTTAAGCTTTTTAATAAATAATAGAATAATATTAAGGATGTCCTAAAAATTATCTTAGGAAATATAAAAATAAATAAATGTGTGTTTAAGGAATAATAAATGATGACGATTTAAGGGTTGGCTGGAAAATTTATGTTATCATTTTCGCGCAAATATTAAATGTTAAATACTAGTTATATTTAGAAACAAAATATATAACTTAGAACTTTTATTAATTGAAACATGTTAATTAATAATTAGTATATTTTATTTGTGTTTTTAGTTATAACGTGGAACACGACGGCATTAAGCTGGTCCCGCCGGAGAGAGACCTTCCAATTCAGGTAATAAGTGTCTTATTTAATTACGTACGTAAGGAATACGAATAAAATAGCTACATAATCAGACGAGATTTGATAGGAAAACGAAACATGAACTGAAAGGGCGTTTTCAGTTCATGTTTCGTTTTCCCATCGAAATATATTCTCGTTCCTTGTAATTTGAGCAGCGTTCATGGTCGCCCGTCTTGATACAAAAATAACTTTAACTAAACTAAAGATTAAATCTAATTGATTGTTTCAAATATCAGCGCTTTTAAACAAATAATAATAAAAGAGACTACAAGACTGACCCGCCATCTAGTGTAATTTATTTTGGCACAAATTTTTAACTAAAATTTTCTTCTTCTTAAATTTATAACAAAAGTACACAATAAATAATATGAATAAGTAGTATTTGAAGTCGGACTGTGTAAATATTTAGTAGCTATCATATATTAGGCGTAATTAGAATTCGAAAATGAACATACATTTTGTAACTTCCATTGCACTGCACAAGTGCAATGAAGATGCGCAGCAAACGTCAGTTCAGTGTTCAGTATGGCGCCAACTGAGTTGAACATAGCGACACGTGACAATAAAAATCGCCAAATAAATGCATAGTGAAAAATGCTTTTCAAGGTCACAAAACCATAATAAATCGAGCAGAATTATTACTTTTCACATGTGAGTTGATGGTTTATGTATTGAAAAGAAAGTAAATAAGGCTATTATTAAATTAAAAAATATATATCATTATAATTCAGTGTTAACATTAAACGTTGGTTTTCCCACTTTAGTGGGCGAATTTGTAATTTATGAAATAATATGCTTCGTACTGTTTTAAATATTTTGGCAAAAATAATACAAATTTTTTTTTTATCTTTTATTTCTTCTTTTATTTTTATATCAAATGCTTCTTGGTGTGATGTATATTCACCTAAGGAACCAATAAATACGTAAACAATACATTACTCGACCTCTAAAAAGCAGAAAGATGATTTTTTCATAAAATGTTTATAATTTTTTTTGCAATGTAAATATATTAAATACATTGATTTATATCTTCATAAAAAAAACTATTGCGACAAACGTAGGGTACTAGAGATGTGGGGTTTTAAAATCCAATCTAGGGTAGTCCCCAAAGTAGATGACTTCTTCATAGTGACTTCTGGTAGGCGGGTAATGGCGATATGGTATTTTAATCTTAGCAATATCTAGGTAAAAAAACGTTTTATTAAAAAAAAACTCGTCTTCATCAGATAGCGTTAAAATTTCTTCTGACGATCAGTTATCGCATCGATGAACCGCTTTTCTTGTCGTCAGAAGAAATTTTAACGCAATCTGATGACGACGACTTAGAATAAATATTTGATTATTCAATTAAAACTTTGACAACCCTATTTCCAAATATAAATATTAGAAATACTCGTATTTGAAACGCTATATCTCCTTTACCGTACCATCGTCGTTTGTGCAATTTCAGAATATAGTTGACAATATTATTACACATTTCAGCAAAAATAAAATGGTACAACACTACAGAATTATTAAAAAAAAAAAAAAAAAAAATCATAACAAAAATACTATAAATATTAAATTTACAGGCTTCTACTTTCTAACGTTGGTATATAATATGATGTTACATCGTTTTAAATGCTAATTAAGTCAATAAGGGTTAAACGTTTAGAATTATAATCAAATTAAGATTTTCTTGAGGTCAGTGACCTCTCACCGAATAGTTAATATTACATTTTAGAATTATTAAAACTCATAAGCGTTATCTGAGTTCAGACGCAGCGAACTAGGTCGTGTGTAGTCACCACTTTCTGAATGCTTTTGGGTCGAAATAACGTGACAACAAAATAAAGGAGCGTTACTAATACTAGATAAAAACTTAAAATTTAATACTCAAACAAATTTTAATTCTTGTTACAGTTTCAAAACACTCAAATACTGTCGCGCACCGCTCCTATGATACCGCCCAAGGAACTAAATGATAACAACAAGATCATTCAAATGCAACCAGAAATGGTACGTCACTAAAATAAAAATATCTAGTACAAAAAATTCTAGCTGTAGGTCCATCTCAGTCACTTTCGACAGAGGTTTTTCCTAATTATGCCCTTGAAACACCGTACCCAATCCATTTTTGCCTTGGCAGGACCTTGACTAAACATTTTCACTAACCGGGATCTGGTCAATGTCTTCGTTATTAGCATGTAGTATATTTGTAATGAATATAGAAATTTACTTCTATAAATCTTTATAGAATCTACTGGGCCCCGAAAACACGGTCACAACCTGTCAGTTTTGCCGCGCTTCCATTAAGACGGCTGTCAAATACACAACTACTTCAAGGACCCATATGGCTGCTGCATTATGGGGTATGATATGGTATGTATTATATTATCCTGTCACTCAATTGCAGGAACGCACTTGTCTCTTAAGTTGCAGTTCATTGAAAAGTGAATTAATTTCACAGGAAAAATAGGAAACCATTCTCAGCCTTTTTTTTTTTTTTTTTTTTTTTTTTTTAACGTGTGGAAATCCCCTCGGACCGTCACCCCTCCGGGGTTTGCGGCGGGGTGGTGTGTCGGACTCGGACCGACTAAAACCACACGGTGTGCCACTCTGCGCCTGTAACAGGAGGGATCCGGGAACAGCTGTTGTTAAGACATCCGGACCCCTCCTAGCGCCTGCCCGCTCCTGGTGCGGGCTCCGTCTCGATGTTTTTCCTCTCTTTATAGGCGACGTCCGGCACACGCGGACGCCGCCCCCTCGCGGCTGGCCAAACTAATGCGGGTGGAGGGGAAACCCACCCCGTCCACCCGCGGCCACACTCAGGGCGGCATGAGGCTGTGATAGGCGGGCCTCCGCCGCCCGGTTCGCCGGCGGCGGATCGGGTCCGAGTGGAGGTCGTCCTCCCGGGCCCTCTCCGCCGCCTCCTTCCGCGAGATTACTACCTCGCAGAAGGTAGCGACCGCGGTAAAACAACTGTCGCTACCGGCCATGGAGCGTACTACGGCCGGTAGCGAGAGATCCACTCCGATGACTGCAGTGAGGGCCCGGCGCTGCGCCGCCCATGCGGGGCAGACCGCCAGCGTGTGCTGGGCCGAGTCCTCACTGCAGTCGCAGTGGTGGCAGGCGGGACTCAGTTCCCTCCTAGCGACCGTGTGCAGGTACTTTCCGAAGCAACCGTGCCCGGAAAGCACCTGCGTCAGTCGGAAGGAAAGGGTCCCGTGCTGCCGCCCTGCCCACTCGGTGATGACCGGCTGGAGAGCCTCCACGGCGGCGAAGCCAGCGCGTGGAGTCTCCAGCCGGAGCGACCAACGAGCCATCGTGGCTCGGCGTGCGGCTTCGCGCCACTCGCGCACATCCTCGGGCGGAGGGCGAAATCCGCTCTCCGCCCGGAAGTCAGCCACTCGCCGATAAACTTCGGCGAGCACTTCCGCCTCCAAATCCCACGGGGGAGTTCCGGCCAACGCGCATGCCACCTCCGTAGAAACGGTGCGGTAACCGCGTATGGCTCTGACCGCCATTACCCTCTGAGGGCGCCAGAGGCGTACCCTATTCTGGGCGGTCAGAGCCGCCGCCCACACCGGTGCACCGTACAGAGCCATTGACCGGACAACCCCCGTGTACAGCCGTCTTGTCGCGACGCTGGGTCCACCCATATTGGGCAAGAGTCGCCCTAGGGCAGACGCAGCGCCGACCAGCTTTGGAGCAAGCTGTCGGAAGTGCTCGTCGAAGAGCCACCTCCCGTCGAGGATCAGGCCCAGATATTTCATCTGGGCCCGAACCGGTACGAGGACCGAGTTGACCACGATGGAGGCGCCAGGGGGTGGACCACGACGGGGCCCATGAAATAACAGGGCCTCCGTCTTATCTAGGGCCACCCGTAAGCCCAGCGCCTCAATGCGCCCGACCACCAGGGAGACTCCCCCTGTGGCCAGGCGCGCCGCCTCTTGGAAGTTTGCCCCCCGGGCTGTCACGAGGGTATCGTCTGCGTAACAGATTACACCCAGCCCGGGGGGGAAATCGGCGCGAAGGGCCCAGTCGTACCCTATGTTCCACAGGAGGGGTCCAAGAACAGACCCCTGTGGAACACCGCACGACATGGGCCGACACCTCAAATTACCTTCTCGGTCCTCGTACACGACGGTACGCTCCTCTAAATAGTCTGCCACCAGCCGCCTCAGGTACTTTGGCACCCCATGATAGTGGAGTGCTTCCCTGATGCAGCTGAATGGCAGACTATTGAATGCGTTGGCGATGTCCAATGACACCGCCAACAGCACGCCGCCACAGCTCACGGCCTCTTCGGTCACGGCCCTCAGGCGCAACACGGCGTCGACTGTCGAACGCCCCGCCCGAAAACCAAATTGGGCGTCCGACAGATCGGGGCCCACCTCGCAGAGGTGCCGGACGATGCGGGCAGAAAGAACCCTCTCAAACAATTTGCCCGCCTCGTCCAGCAGCACGATGGGCCTATAGGCCGCGACCGAATCGGCAGGCCGTCCCGGCTTCGTCAATAGGACCAGCTTCCCGCTCTTCCAGCACTCAGGGAAGCGTCCCGACGCCAAGCTAGCGTCGAACACCTCCCCGAGGCGGTCTGCCATGTGGTTGAGGGCCAGGGCCAGCACTCGGGCCGGTACCCCGTCTGGCCCAGGGGCGGTGTTCTTGGAACGGATCCGTAGAACAGCCGCCCCTACCTCCGAATCCCGGACGGGCGGAACATTGTCCTCCCCGTGCTCCCCGTCGTCTCCGGCCAGGGAGGCCATCGACGGGGGAGTGTGTTCCGCTCGTTGTGGGAAAAGGCCCTCAACCACTTCTCGCAGGAAGCTGGGCTGGAGAGTCTCCGTAAGGGGGGGGCCCGACGCGCGGAGCTTTTGTCGCACCGCGCGGTAAGGGCGACCCCAGGGGTCACGATTAAGACCCTCCAGCATCTCCTGTCTCTTTTCCTCTTTGGCGCGGCTAATGGCCAGCTTCAGAGTTTTCCGAGCCCGTCGGTACTCCTCATGAAGCCGGTCCTCCTCACCGTCTCCACGGTGACGCCGCCGACTGCGCGTGTAGGACCTCCGGGCACGTGTACAGGCCGCACGGAGGTCCGCCAGCTCCTGGGACCACCAGTAGACCTCCTTCCTTGGAGGCCGACGACCTCGAACGCGGGGCATGGCCGCATCACATACATGCGTAATCGCATCGCGAAAGCGGCCAGCCCCCACGTCGACCTCCTCGGTCGGAGCCTGAGGAGACAGCCACGAGTGAATTATGGCTGCCTCCTCTAGTAGGTCCCGGTTTAGCCTGGCAACAGCCCACCGCGGAAAGCGGGATAAACGCCGCGCCACGTGACCCCTACTGGAGTCCTGGGTCCGGGAGAGCTCAAATTTTAAAATTCCCCCCGGGGGGGCCCCCCCGGCCCGGGGGGGGAAAAAAATTTTTCCGGGGGGCCCCCCTTTTTGGGGGCCACCCCCCCATGGCCCCCCAAAAGGGGCCCAACCTCGGGGGGGCCCCCCAGCCCTTTTTCCCCCGGGGGGGGAAAACCCCTTTTTTCCCCCCCCCGGGGGGGGTTTTTCCCCCCCCCTTTAAGGGGGGGGGGCCCCCCCCCCCTGGGGGGGCCCCCCGGAAAAAGGGGGGGGAAAAGGGGGTTTCCCCCCCCCCAAGGGGCCCCCCCCCGGGGGGGGGAAAAGGGGTTCCCCCCCGGGAAATTTTGGGGGGGGGGGGGGGAACTGACCCAAAGGGGCCCCCCCCCCCCGGGGGGGGGGGCCCGACCCCCCCCCGGGGCCCCCCCCCCGGGGAAAGGGAACCTTTTTACCCCCCCCCCGGGGGGACCCCCCCTTTGGGCCCCTTTTTTAAACCCCCGGATTTGGGCCCCCCCCCCAAAATGCGCACGCACGTGTTGGTGGAGCCTCTGTTTAGAAGACAGAGGCCCACCGAGGCCGCCCACTCCTCTACGGCCTCGCCCCTGGCGTCCGTCCTGGGGGAACCCCACGCAATGGACTTTGCGTTGAAGTCCCCCAGCACAAGGACGTGCCCAGACGCTAGTCGCCGTATCGAGGTCTCCAAGCTGATTAGGAAAACCTCGAAGTCGTTCAAACTCCGGTTGGGGGAGAAATAGACACCATATATGGTGATCCCCCCCCACTCGACGGCAACATATCCAGTGCCCTTGTCTCTTAGCGACAAGGGCGGGGAATGAGCCGTCGTGGAACCGACGACTGCCACGGAGCCGTCCCAGTCACCCATCCAGTTTGGACGGGGAAGGACAGAATAGGGCTCCGCGACTACGGCAACACCTATCGACCACTGTGCCATGGTTTGCAGGAAGAGATCCTGCGCCGCGGCACAGTGGTTCAGGTTCGTCTGGACCAGGAGGTTGGAGACTTGATCCATTACTGGATCGTCTCTACAACCTCCTCCATGGGCGACGACGACGACGCACGTACTACGTCGGAGGCAGCCTGGGTCGACTGGCTAGCCCCTGACGTCTGCCGTGAACTGCGGGGAGGCTTGCAGCCTCTCTGCCCCATCTGGTGATTGGCGGGCTTATTGCCCGCCGCACACACTGGGCAGTGAGGGGCGGCAGAGCATTCTGCCGCCTTATGCCCCGGTTGACCGCAGCGGAAACACAGTCCGCCGCAGTCAAAGCAACTGTCGCACTTGACGCGCGTGTGTCCCGATGCTAGGCATTTGTAGCATCTCATCGGTCTCGCCGCCAGGACTGTGATCCTGGCGCTCACGAAACCGATGAGCAGCCTGCCGGCGTCGGCCAATACTTTGGCCGACGCTACGGGACAGCTGACCCACACGGCGCCAAGCCCTCCTGGACCGGGGCGGATGGTGCCGACCCTGACGTTGTCCGCGCTGCACCCCGTCTTCTCCCGGATTACAGCGCGGACATCTTCGGCCGTCACAGAGTCGTCCAGGCCCGAGATGCGCAGCTCTGCGCACTTAGTAGGCCTGGCGATCTTTACACCATCCGTGGCTGTAAAGAGTCCCCGCAGCTTCTCGGCAAATGTGTCCGCCGTCTTAGCGCCTTCAGCCCCAGGGAACTCGAGGACTCGAGCTCCCGTCTGGGCGAGGCGCATTCTGACCCCCACCGTTCCAAAATCGTTGGCGAGGCTGTCCCGGGCCTTTTTGAAGACGGCCGCGTAGGACAGCCCGCCGTCCGCCGCCTCCGGGGACACGGTCACCACTACAGCCGCGGTTTTGGGCGGCTGCAGCTTCCGCGGCCTCTTTGTGGAGGCCGTTGCCACCGGTGGCGAAGGCTGGGCTTGGGCTGCTTTTTTGGCAGCCTTTTTGGCCCGCCTTCGGGACTTCTTGGAGCCCCTCGCCTCCTGCCAACCCTCGTTGGAGGGGGCAGGTGCGGAGGGGCCCGGCAGGGGTGTCGGAGTGGGGAGCGGAGGGAATGCCACTCCGCTCCTCGGCGCTGTTCTAGGCCCCGTCTTGGCCGGCGCCTGGGGATGCGCCCTGGCCGGCGCCTTAGCCGGTGCCTTGGCCGGCGCCTGGGTTGGTGCCTTGGCCCCCCTCCTCGGCTTTTGTGGAGCCGATGGAGTCGGGGCAGACGCCGCCGCCGCGTAGGAGACGCGGCCTCCCACTACGGGGAGCGCGGTCGGAGCGGCGGCCTTAGGCCGCTGTGTCGACGCGAGCGGGGGGCGCATACTCGGCGCAGGAGGCAATCTCGCCTCCAGGCCAGCCAGGCGTCCGTCCAGCATATTCCCAACTGCGATGAGGATTTCTCGCAGTTGGGAGTCAAATGCCCCTGAGTTGGTGGTAGGGGCAGGCTGGGACGCGGACGGGGCTTCCCGCTCGGGGAGGTTCGCCTGGAAGCGGGCGAACTGAGCGCTCAGCTCGTTCACCCGCTCCGTCAGCTTCTCGTTGGCCACCTGCAGGCGAGAGACGTCGCCCGCTAGGCCCTCCACAACCTCCGACAAAGCGGAGGAGGAGTCCTTAAGGGCCCTCACAAACGAGCCCTTAAGGTTCACGGATTTGGTGGCCACCTTGTTGATGACGGCCACCGCCGCTTTCGCCCTCTCCTGCACGGACACGGGAGCCTGGGGGGCATTTCCCCCCACCGGCTCCCGAACCTTGAGCAGGAGATCCGCGATCTCCTCCTCCGCTACGGCCTCGCCGTCCACCCGTACGTTCCTGTACGACTCCGCGTTGGAGAACGCGGAGCCTGACGGGATCGCGACCGAGGCCGGTTTGCGCGCCCTCCCTCGGCGGCTGCTTGCCACCTTTGGTGGCATCATTTCGCCGGACGTGTCGGTTTCCACGTCCCCTGAGCGTCCGCGTTTCCGGCTGTCGCTCCGCTCCGCTTCCATGGCCTCCGCGCCATCCGATGAAGCGGCGGATCCGGAACGCAGCCGATCCGATGCTCTTCGGCTCCCAGAGACCAGCGTCAGACTGACTTCTGGGAGCCCCACCGAGATAGGCGTTCCCGACGCTATCTCACCCTCCGTGGATGAACCATCCACTCCACTGTTCCTCTTCTCTTGCATTTCAGAGTCCGTTTTGCTTGCCTTTTTCTTTTGTGATTGGTTTTCCGATCGTTTTTTAATATTTTTGTTGATATTTTCCATGATAAATCCCACGAGTGGGGGAGAACTAAAGGTCCACCCGGGCAGAGATCCCCCATTACCCGGGCAAGCGTAAGTTTTTAACCCAACCGAGGGGTCCGCAGGTACCTCGGCTTGGAGTGCGCTCGCGACTGAACTTCCCATCAGCCATGCATCCCCTGGCCACGCACCAGAACACGGGATTCGGGGAATTTTTTAGAGAGGTTATCTTCCTCGCGGTCCGGGCGGTTAAGCCAAGACCCTCGCCCCCGATCAGAGCCGCGAGACTTAACCACAGCGCTCTTCTCGGGATTACGATATGCCGACGGTTGACAGGGAGACTACGTCCCCCTGCCTGCTCGGTGGTAGTGTGAGTACACGCCGAGCCCGTCCTCCTTTCTCCACCGCTGTCAGCGGAGAAACTGTGGCCCCTACAGGGCCCCGCCATCAGGTTTTTTACCGAGGTTTCCTCCTCCATGCTCCGAAGAGCGAAGAGCCAGCAGGGCAACCGGCAGACACGCCCACCCTGCTGGACCAGGCCTTGCCCGAGAGCCGATGAACGGCTGCCTCTTCTGCTAGAATATTGGCCGCTGGCGATAATCCTCTCCTCCAAGAGGACAAGGAGGGAACAGTACCATCGCCAGCGTTTCCAGGGTGCACCACGAGGAGGTTTTCTAGCCCAGCACCCCAACCATTCTCAGCCTAACTCAACTTGAAACTTAATTTTCTAGTTTGCCTGTTTTATTAAAGGAAATATAAAATTCCATTAGCATAACATTATTACTTATTCTATGTAGGAATTAACAGTAAATGCTTGTGTATATTTAATGGTGTTTTGTCTTTATTTCAGCTGTCTTTGCTGTGTTCCGTATGGCGCTGAGTCTGCCAAGAACAGCGACCATTACTGCCCAGCGTGCCAGAGATACCTTGGCACGTACGTCAAGTAATATTACCTATACCTGCGTATTCATTTTTATATTTTCATGTTTTATATTTTTGATATGACTCCACAGTCATGTGTCAGACAGATTATAATAGCTAAAATTATAGAATAGGCTCCTTTCGAGTATTTTTGTTTAAGTTAGTATATTTGGATACGGATTCTTTACTTAAAGATACGGTCTAAAATGTATCATTTGATTCGGCAAACCGAGTCGTCTCGGTAAGACCGAGAAGGGTTTTCAATTAGTTTACCAAGAATATTTTCTATGAAAGTATAAAATTTATTGCAATTGTCCACTTTTGTATTACAATTAAAAATAGTGCTGTGTGTAATGTTTTCTTAACGCGACGTTTTTGATGGTATGGGAGGTGGTCCAAAAAATATCAAAGATACATAATTTCATATATAAATCCATAAATTAGTCCTTAACACTGCACTAATCCCTAAACAATAACCATAGTACTTACATACTAAAGAACTTCCAAAAGTGCCAAAATCCTGAGATTTATACAAAAAAAAAAGTAGTTTTGATAAAGCACATGATTTGATTTTAATTAATATTATATTTCAATTGTTACAGTGAAAACTAGAGTAGATGTAAGATTCATTTAATATGGACCAAATTAACAAACTTGATTTTAATTTTGTTAAGAAACAGAGCTATTTCGTTCATTACTTTAGTATGAGTTGCGACAGTTATCGTAGAACAAAGCACATCCTTCCTTATTGGTCTCAGTGCTATTTAGTAGAAAATAAGCTATTTACAAAAAAATTTAATGTCAATGAGTCACACATAAATATTGAATGAACAGTAGTCAATTCATGATTTGCAATCATACTAAATGAGCAGAAATGTCTCTGTTTTCCTTGTGTATGTCAATTATTATAATGTTTAATATGATGGTTTAATATAGTCTGTATTTTATAAAAAATAAGTGTTTCATTAAATAAACACCCATCCAGGACGACTCCAGAACAGGATGTCTCCATAATTCAATCATTTGTGTTATCTGTAGCCTCAAACCCAAACCAGATTGAACAGACCAGCCCAAGACCAAACCCTGCGACTAGCACATAACTGATACAGATATCTTATAATATTATCATATGTATATAATTATTATAATCTCCTGAAAAATATATTAAAATTGTTAACAATTTTGTACTATCACCGTGTGGTGACGAATTAAGAATACGTAATGTCACCACCCATATTCTTCCCGTGGGTGTCGTAAAAGTCGACTAAGGGAGAAAACTACGCAAGACAACAGCACTGCAAAAAGAAGAAAAACTTGAAATAAACCCTACACCAACTAGGGAAAGCAATCTCGTTCTCGCGAGATCTCGGCCTTTTTTACACGCTTTATATTAGCTTCACTTGTACGTTTGTAACCGACTTCCTTTGGGCGTGATTTTGACTGACTTTAAACGGTCAGAATTCGTGCAAACTTTGTAGATATATCAAGGACCGATGACAATACACTAATTTAAAAAAATAAAATAAAAATAATTGGCGAGATTGATCTCGGACGAAAAAAGGGCGAGATCTCGCGAGTTTAACGAGATTGCACTCGAGCATAAAAATGTCTTAATTCAATTTAAATAATTCGAAGCGCGGACTGAGTTGCTATCTGTCGGTTTCGTTCGGTGCGCGGGAGGCGGTGGCCTGAGTTGGCGGTTGCGGTACGAGGTCTCTCAGTAAAATTTTACACAAGATAAAATTTTATTACTAAAAGATAGACTTGTTTGATATTAGAAGAGAAGACTGGTTGTTTCTTAACCGACTTCAAAAAAAGGAGGAGGTTCTAAATTCGACTGTATTTTTTTTTTTTTATGTTTGTTAGCTCAGAACTTTTGACTAGGTGAACCGATTTTGATAATTCTTTTTTTATTTGAAAGCTGGTGCTTTCCGTGTGGTCCCATTTCAATTTGGGTTAGTTCTGATAATGGCATCCATGAGAAAACCATATAAGTCTTAAATTTGCATTTAGCATGTTCGCGACAAATAGACGAATAACTCAATTTCACGCAAACCGATTTCGATAATTCTTTTTTTATTGGAATGGATGTACCTTAAGGGTACTTTGATGAGAGTTTGGTTAGATTCTGATGATGGGATCCACGACAAAGTAACGGAACTCTTCAATTCTTAGGAGCAAATTAACGATACTCGGCTGAATCTTTTATGGGCTATCTGGATATTTGAGTCACCTACAGTAACGTCGTTATGGTCAAGTAATTGTCGTCATCAACCGCCTTTAATAAGCTGCTGGACATAGGCCTCTCCTTAGAAAAGAGGTTTTGGCGTACTATACCACGCTGGCCAGACGCGTTGGTATAGGGTTTATTTCAAGTTTTCCTTCTCTTTGCAGTGCTGTTGTCCTGCGTAGTTTGCTCCCTCACTAGACTCTTACGACACCCATGTGATTAAAAGGGGTGGTGACATTCTGTATTCTTAATCCGTCATCACAGGGTAGATTGCCTCTGTTGAGATAGGCGTTTCTTCCTGACTCCCTTTGTTTCATTCAAACGGCGCTGTCTCATTTGAGCAGCACGTTTATTAGGTCTACCCATATTCAAACAAATTAGTAAGTGTACTTCAGATTCAATAAAAAGCAAAAAATAAACAAAAAATTTTAACAAAAAAAAAACCGACTTCAAAAAACACTATTCCAAAACAAATTAATATGCACTAAAAAGGAAAAAAATAAATGCATATTCTTCTACAACTTAATAATCAACTTACTTTTTCTACTCATCTATATGTAGGTACGATCTATGTGTTAACCGCGCAAGAAGGTAGGTAGGTACCTACCCATTTCAAATCTAATTTAACCTATACCTGTGAATAACAAACAACGATCAAAATATTTATTTGAGTTCTCCTAAGTAAAATAAAATGAATATAATGTAGTTACAATTATTGTTATTTTTGGAGTCGGTGTCAGCCAAGGAAACACTACGATATACCTAGCAATAATAATACGAGAATACTTTAAAGACTCGTCAACTCGCGCGTGCGACACAAGCACTGCTCACTTATAACAATGTATGTATGTACATAGTAAGTGTAGTTAAGCTAGTTTTGTTACCTTGGCTGACACCGACTCCAAAAATAACAATAATTGTAACTACATTATATTATCGTAATAATTTGATTGACTTTTAAGTAGTCTAATATTTTTCATTTCATTTTACTTAGGAAAACTCTAAAAAATATTTTGATCGTTGTTTGTTATTCATTGGTATATGTTGAGTTAGATTTGAAGTGGGTAGGTACCTACCTACCTTCTTGCGTGGTAAACACATAGATCGTACCTACATATTTATAAGTAGAAAAGTAAGTTGATTATTAAGTTGTAGAAGAATACGCATTTATTAGTATGCTACATTCTGTTTACTATATCCTCTCATGTGTTCATCCAGTTTTCCAGCTAATTAACACAACACTGATTTATTTTTGTTAGACCCATTGTAATCTGAAGTATATTTAAATATAAACAAATAATAATAATCCAAAGTCTTTAATACCAACACTAACACTTTTTTTAAATTATTTCATTTGTTATTTAATAGATACGTACGTCAAAGTTTACTACTTAGAAGTTTAAAAAAAATATATAGACAGATACGTCAAACAATGTTTGATGCATAAAAGTGTATTGAAAAACTTCTCGAAAATAAATATAATAAGAGAGAATAAATTAGCTTATAATACTTTTAATTTTTATTTTTTTCCTAATGTATTCAAATATTTATTTTGTTTATTTATTTATTTTATTTTATTTACCTCTTTATTATACCATTGAAGTATTATTTATACAGATATTACATACTTTTCGGTATAACAATAGGCGGTCTTATCGCTCACGGCGATCTCTTACAGACAACCTTTATACGGATATTGTCAAAAAAAAAAAATAGGGTAGCCTGCGATGTACTATTACAACAAATTGAAAAAATAAATAAAAAATACTAATAATAAACATAAGGTTACTACTATATACGTTTACCGTATATTATACATACAACTAATAAATTTAAATACATACAACATATAAAAATACATACAGACAGAGGTACCTACATAAATAAACAAATTCCTCTATGATGCCAAGTAATGATTTGTGTCCGTTTCGAATGCTCGGCCACAGTGTCGTAGAATAAAAACGACTACGTCAACATTACAAAGGAATTTGTAAAATACTAACAATGAAAGTCGCAAATTCGTAAAACCAATATTCAGAAAGTTGTAAGGGTTTAACTATGGCCGCGCGGTCGAAACATGGAGAACTGCGCCGCCACGCAGTTCTCTTAAACGGACCTTAGTAGAGGTCCAATTCTTTTTGCCAACCACTGGTACGATTTCGAAGAAAATGTAGACAGGATGAATAAAGCCCTAATGTTTGGACTGACCTACAGAACTGAAAACCTAAAATGCAACTTAGAAGAAGGGTGACCAAGATTTATGGTGCGTCAAACAGACATTTCCAAAAGCGTCGTTTTATATCACGTAGGCAACTATTATCCCTCATTTTGATAATAATATCATAATGCCCTCATTATGATAATCATATCATAATGCCCTCATTATGATAATCATATCATAATGAGGGAATAAGTATGGTGATTAGGGAATATGCATAAAATTTAAATTTGTCTTAAATATTGTTTTCTAGATTCTTTATTGTCTTTACATTGTACTTAAAAGGTATTTTATTTATTTATTTATCATTATCAAGTACCAGATAAAAATATATAAAAAGTGAAAAATAAGGGGGAAATTCAAACTTACAAAACGCGTCACCATTGTTCAAAACGAAATGTGACGTAAATGGTCACGCACGTCATTGCATTTATCGGCGTCGATTTTCATACGTAGTGTTTGTGAGAAAAATTGTTTAAAACTGTATTCCTCTGTATGTATTACTTGTGAATATATATTTGTAGTCAATCTAGAACGATGACAGAAACTGGTTTTGTCAAAGCACAATCAGATAATCTACCGAAAATAGATGCATTTATGATGTCAGCATATTTTGCATCAAATCTCGATTTTACATACGGGCGCAGAAATTAAAAGAGTGAAAGCTGCAAGGTAATTATTATGTTACATGGTCCATTCCATACATTTTTTTTATAAAATTTGTAAATAATACTTACAACAAATCATAATCATTTGTCATGAAAATAGTTCCTAAACTCCTAATTTACGTCCATATTATTATAATTTACACGTAATATTATATTATTGAAGCTCACTCAAGTATGTGTTTATGTACTTTTTGTAAATATTAGATAAATACGATATTCCGATTTACATGAATAATTAAATTTCTTTCAATATTTAAGTGATTGTTTTGTTTCAGATCTGAATGAGAATCTTTGCCTTTTAACTACGGCCGTTCTTTCAACTGGTGGCATATTTCGTTTTTGACACAAAAATATATGAGGAACAGCTCCTTTTTTTAACTGTAGATTACATTATTCTCCTTTTTGTTTCATTACGTTATATTCAATATAATTAACTGTTTCTTCCTTAGCCTGAAATAATTTATCAATGATCAAAATTTCGTAAAACCGCAATAGGAATAAGCAACCTCTTTAGATAATTTTTAATGAACTTTTGTAAACTAGGTTAGGTTATCATCATCATCATCAACAGCCTTTAATAGTCCACTGCTGGACATAAGCCTCTCCTGAGAAAGGAGGTTTTGGCCTACTATACCACGCTGGCCAGACGGGTTGGTAAAGGGTTTGTGTTAAGTTTTCCTTCTCTCTGCAGTGCTGTTGTCCTACTTAGTTTTTTCCCTTAGTCGGCTCTTACGACAGCCACGGGATGAATAGGGGTGGTCACACTGTTTCGGGGATCACCTGTGTCTGATCCGCAAGGAGCCAACGCCTGAGTGCCACTACTGCGATGGCCAGACCGTGGACACGGCTCTCCACACGCTGGCAGAGTGCCCGGCGTGGGTTGAGCAGAGGCGAGACCTCGTGGCGGCCATCGGAGTGGGAGTTCTCTCGCTCGATAGCCTGATTGCGGCTATCGTGCGGAGCGAGAGTGCGTGGAACTCTGCCGTCTCCTTCTGCGAGCAAGTTATGCTCGCGAAGGAGACGGCGGAGCGGGACCAGGAGAGGTTTAGGACTCTCCCGGCCCGCCAGGCCCGGGAACGGGCCAGGTACCGCAGGCGACTCAGGCGCCGGAGGTCGCAGAACGACCTCCGTCCTCCATAAGCGCAGGCCTGGGGGTGACAGGTGAGGCCATCTGTCACCCTAGCAGAAGCAGGCCGGAGTGGCGGCGAGCGCGTTGCGAAGCGCGCTCGCTTTCAGGGAGCACAGGGAACATGGGGTTCCCACACGGGGGGGGGGGGGGGGGGGTCGTCTACTCGTCTGTAGATGACCCGAGGTATGTCGGGGCACCAGGGACTTCCTTTCTAGGGTATACCTGGTTCCCCGGCTATTAGTACCCGAGACGGCGTGCGGTTATAGTCGGTTCGAGTCCGACATGCCACCGACAGGTGGTATCCGAGGGGATTTCCGCACGGAAAAAAAAAGGGGTGGTGACACTGTATTCTTAATCCGTCACCACACGGACCAGGTTAGGTTGGTCTTAGATCAAATCTTCTACTGATTAATAGCTAATTCACACTAAGCTGTACATAAATATTAAAATTAATACTTCACAACAAAATACAAGTGCATTGTTCGCCGCGCGAGCCGTATCCACATATGTGTGCGTGCCTGCACCTGCACCTACCTACTTGTATTTCGTAGAAAATTGTATTATTTTATAAGTCAGTAATAAACGTGCCTCCGCGCTAAACTGTTGTTTATTCTTCTATCCACCGGTCAAATACATATCAATTATCCCTTCTCATCATCTTTCACCATTTTTTTTTGTACTTTCGCATCGCGTGGAATACGAAAAAACACTTTATCGGGTGTACTAATAATAGTGTTTTTGCACTTCGGTACCATACAATACTTGTAAGAAGGTTTTTTAACTATAATTAACTATAAATAATTACTTCTATAATTTGCATAGCAATTACAACGGAAAATAAGCATGAGGTAACTGAAACGCTATAGTAAACAAACACGGGGCACAACCAATGACGTCTTCAAAAGCGCGCACTAAATGGTGGCGCTTGAACGGCTCAAATTTATTCATTGTTTAAAATTCCACTGTGATTTTTTTAACTATTTTTATTTTTTTCTATGTTATCCAGATGTATATAATTAATTTAAGAAATAAAAAAACATGTATATTCCCTATTGGATGGAGAAGTACTTATCCGAAAATATTAACACTGTATTATTACTAATACTACTTTTACCTATTTATCTTAATAAAATTGAAAATGAAACTATTTATTGTTTTTAATTTTTTATTTTTTTTTCTAAAATGTCTGATTGACGTACCATAAAACTTGGTCACCCGTCTTCTAACTTGCATTATAGTTTTAAGTTCTGTAGGTCGTGAAGTCCAAACCGTAGGCCTTTTGTCATATTGGTTTTACAAGCGACTTTCATTGTTAGTATTTTAGAAATTCCTTCGTAATGTTGACGTAGTCGTTTTTTTTCTACTCTACTGTTGCCGAGCAGTCGAAACGGACACCACAAAACTGCCAATCTCGCAGTATTGGTTTTCATAAACTCGCGGGATCCCCCTTGAGCCCCAATATCGCGAGATTTTGCATTCCCGTGGTATAGTAGGCCAAAACCTCCGTTCAGAGGAGAGGCCTATGTCCAGCAGTGGACTATCATAGGCTGTTGATGTGATGACTATGGCGAAAACGCGTCTTGCTCGAGCGAAGTTGGTTGTACAGTCATGAAACGTTTATTAATTGATTGAATTAATGACCAAGACTGGGATAAGCTTCAAAATAATTCTATTCACCTGTAATGTTTTGATCATGTTTCAAAATCCTGTAAATCCTGGATCACACACTCTTGCTCTACCTCAAGCCTAGTGCTGCTCCTACAAAGACAGCACCCCTCGACAACTTGCGAGTTAGTGGGCCATTGATTTTGTATGATAGCTGCACAAATAAACTTATTTTAAGGTTTCCTAAGATTTTATTAAGATTATTCTGAAATGCTTTTATAGCACATATTTCATGATACTTAAAAATTCTTGATAAGTGTTCTTGGGTTATAGTGGGTTTTTGCTCAGCACCAAAGCAAAGCCAGGATACGTTAGTATTTAACCCTTAACGTAAAAAAAACTAATTGAAAATATTTGAAAGAATATACTTTATTGTATATATACAAGAACTTCATGTACAGGTAAACTTAATACTACTTAACACTAAAATATGTACATTGGGCGCTATCTTACTTATTTCTTCACATAATATAATCCTCACTCGTAGCGAGCAAATAAACTGCAATACTGACCTCAGGTAATCATTTGACGAAAAAAAACAAGGGTCCGAGGCTTGTCAGATTCAATACTCAGTCAAACTAAAGCATTATTTATAACTAGTCTGGCCATAAATGAAGTTAAATTTTTTTCATGATTCAGAATTCAAGTTTTAAATGGGTTTACTGGATCTCAATAGGTTGCCCACTCTTTCACATATTAAACATCGATTTAATTGAGGAATCAACGCTTGTTATATATATACAAAGTACAAAAGAAACCATCGGTTATTTATTTTAAAGAACTTTAAAACCTTAGCATAGGCACACCGGCACAACGGCACACCTAAGAATACTTCCTCTGTCGGCTGAAAGATTTTTCCAGATGGTATCATTGCCTCAAAAGATATAACAAAGAATGAACAATACTGGAGTTGTGTAGGTATGATCACAGCGCAGATATTGTGTGTCGCTGAAGTCAGGCGACGTACTGCTTGGTGAGAGCTCGCAGCAGCCGCGCGCGCCTGACGGCGGCGGCCTCGCGCTGTATGTCTTCGCTGTTGTTGGCGTTGAGCTCGAGAGCGCCGGCCGCGCGCACGGCCCGGGCGCGCCGCCCCCCCTCCCCGCGCCGCGCGTGTAGCGCCACGCCCACCTCTAGCAGCGTGCCGTCGAAGATGCACCCATAGTAAGCGTCCATCGCGTCTGTGGCGTTGCCCGGCTGAACACAAACATGGACATGTTCAAAAACTTAGAACAACATAAGGATGAATTATATATTTTTTCATGAATGAGATTGATTTTTTCACGAAGACAAAAAAAAACTCATGCCATAAAGGTTTTAGTTAAGAATACGAAAGAATACCAACGTTAAGAAAGTTTACTAACTAGTTGTACTAGTTTAGTATCTAAAAAAACATTATTACACTTAAATCGAAGATAGCTTTTGCTCAAATTAATATATTATATCGAAAAAAAAATCCTTTCTGTTAATTTTTAAGCGTCCACTTTTAACACCCATAGGTGTAGTTACCTTCTCAGCGAGACACTTGAAAGCCGTAGCATAATCAGGTTCGTCAGGCAGCTGGCAGAGCGCGGCGGCCTGCGTGAAGGCGCCGAGCGCTTGGCAGCAGCGCGCCGCGCGCCGCACCACGCTGGGCTCGTCGGGCGAGCGGCTCTGGAACAGCCCCGAGCCCACCGCCAGCCCGCACAGGTAGCGCCGGAGCGCGGCGCCCCACCGACCGTTCACCATCTCCACGTCGCCGTACAGTCGGAGCCTGGAATAACATTACCATTTCATTTTAAACTATACCTAGTTCACATTCGAATGTGTCCATTCGATGTTATAATATACTATTTGTAGATCATATTTCTAAAAGCGAAAACATTTTATAGGGACATATACATAGTTTTCAAAGATATTTATCAAAGGAATCCTGTGTAGTAATTCTGGTCACAAAACGATTGCTATAGATCCAAATCATTGGTCAGTTACTAAAAAAAAACAAATATTTTGAACGTTGGTAATGTAATAATCAATATCAGCCTATAATTGTGTTAAAAATAAAATGTAAAGATGATGTCGATGTTTGATTAATAGTATATTTCAGTCAAAAATACCTATGGCTCGATAGGTATGATTATTATGTAATCACGTGACCTAACGTATCCATGGTTTTAACCTATGCCTTAGCAATGATAATAATAATAAATTAAAAGTAAATAAAAAATGTATCTTTACCATGAAGTATTGTAGGGATGCAGTTTCAAGCTCCTTTCCAATAAATCAGTGAGAGATTCGAGTACATATGTTCGGTTATAATTGTTCATATTCGATATATTTGAGGGCCAGAGGTTGGTATGTTCCACCACCAGTTCTAGAGAGCTATCGTCCAGCAGGTAGTTGTGGATACGAGCGAGGAGCGAGAGCATCACGGTGATTGCAAGTGGTGCACGTAGCGTTGACAGGAAACTGTTGAATGCGTTTCGGGCTTCACTTGACGCTCTTTCACTATCACGCGAATGCGTTGGTATACCTCCTGCTGATCTTTTTACCGGTCCGGACGTATTGTGAGTGTATACGGATAAAGCTAAAAAACAAAACGTTTTATAAAATAACTTGATTTTTATACTTTTTTCGATCATGTATCCCATAGTATGTAGTAACGGCGCTTAGAATAATGGCAGGCACTAATTTATGATCAAACACCTCGCGCCCACGTTAGCGGTGTGACGTCTGAGATGTAGTCGAAAGAAAATTATTAAAACAATGCTATAGAAATGCAAATAAGGCTTTTGGCGCGGTGTCTGTATTCAAACGATTATTATATCGTATATTTTATCAATCAACCAACCTAAATAAATTCCTATATCTGACGATAATTAAACTTTGCTATATTTGACTCTAAAAAAGCTATTGGCAATCAATGTTATAATGACAGGAATATTGTATAGTTATCATAATATTATAAAGTAAGATATGTCAAAAACTACTAGAGTGCAGACAGAGACAGCTTCGAAGTTTCAGTTGGGTAGAGATGCGTCTAAATCTCTAACCAATTGTTAAGATCCTGGTTTTGATAGGCAAAAGGTCTTTTGTCCGCAGGTGGATTAATGTTTATACGAACAGCCCACACAACTTTAAAGGGTCTTGTCCTTACCATAATCCCATAGTGGTCTTGGAAACTTTCGGGTCTGTTTCTCTTGTAATTCAAAACAGGCTGCATACAGAGCGGCGGCTATTTCACCAGGGCTAGTTAGTACTCCTGCTCCCTTCCACTCAAGGGCGTGAGCTATTACCATTTCACCAGGGCCAGACGACATACCAACTCCTTTACCATCACAGGCATTGACTAAATAAATCCAACATGCTTCGATCACCTAAAAAAGTGATGAATGAATGTACCTTAACACAGAAATTATGACAGAATTAATATGTGAAGAAAAATATTTGTATCCCTATTTAAACAAATACCGTGGAATAGGAATGCTTATTGTTTGTATTTAAAAGTGCACAAACGGTCTAGTATATATTTTGACGTGCATTGCTATGAAGCCTATAAAATGTCAGTTCAGGTTTTACTAAATTAAAATAAAAAACATATGTTTGAAATAAAATAAAACATTAAATCGGACGAAATTCGACCGCCGCCACCACTTATTACTACTACTTATCGCTTCTACGCATAATAAATAGATATAATTCAGTAGTATTTATAATAATTAATTTACATTGTAACAGATCACATAAAAAAATGTATTTAATATACAGAAGTAAGGTGACTTCTATAAGGACATCCATAAGGGTACCGTTATTCTTCTAGTTTCTAGAAGCTGATTGAGGTTAAATAGAAGGAAGTGACAATAGACAGTTCTGTTTATACAAAACAAGTTCTATAAAAAGAAAAATCGTATTGTATAAAAATCATAATTTATATATATATATATAATGCAATAGAACTTTCATGTCGGTATCAAAAGCAATTTTATATCAAAAGGTATTGAGAGCGATGGCAAAATGCTATAAATTTATAATAAATAACAAAATGATTATTACCTGTGGCCGAGGCATGATACCGTCACCCGTGTTGACTTCGCCAATACAAGCTTTACATTTGTTAACTATAGTTGGTAAATCTAAGCCGTGGTGTAGCCATTCGTTTAGGATCACAATAATTTGTAATAGTAGCTCCTCCCATGATAGATGACGACATAGACGATATAAGTTCGGATCAGTACCACCACCTAATTGACTGCGCACTTCATCTTTTAGCTGAGATATAAATGTTAGTGCTGATCGTGTACAGCCCGCCTCTACTCTCGCACGCGCTACGCCCGACACTATATAGCCGAAGTCTTGTAAAAATCCTCTCGGTAAAGACATTAAAGCATTACATAGTTCTCCCGCCGGTTTCCACGATGGACTCAACTTCCACAACGGCGATTGAGGCGATTCCCTTGCGACCTCAACTAAACATTTCCGAATATCATCAGACGTCGAGGCCTCAATAAGCCGCTTCCTAAAATAACCTATTCTTAAATCGGGAACAGCAATATGTTCGTTTTCAAACTCTGGAATTTCCCAACTGTCTGTTAGTAACTCCCTAGGAATTTGCATCGTTTTGTCATCTATGTTGACAGGATCAGTAAGTATTGTGTTCAAATGTTCATCAGATATTAAAATGTTTCTATCGCCGATGCGATCTTTTAAGTACTTTAGTATTCTGGCTATTGGAAATCTCCATTGAGACGTGGCCAGAAGTGTATGAAGGATGAATGTTCTTAAATGAAACCAGTCAGTGTCCGTCAAGTCCGACTTTAAAACGGGAGCTAGCGCTTTAAACAGATAATCGAAGAATTTTATACCGACGGTTTTAAACTTGTTAAGGAATTCAGGTTGAGTGGACGGTAGACCACCTTCTAATGCATATCTCACAGCGTTAAGAGCCGATACTTCATTTAGAAGATCAGGAGAAACAGTAAGGGCTCCACTTGATGCTGCTCCTTGCATATCAAGTTCAACAACTTGTCTATGAGTCATGTTGATTTCTCTAGCTAGGTTGTCAGCTTGTAAAACTCCTGTAATCCCACTGTAATGATTTGCCACACATTCTTGAAGTCTTTGTAATAATGTTGGTTCTTCATTTAATACTTCATAACCCAAATTTAATGCTCTTATATAGCCCAAAATCTCATCCTTCGTCATGCTGGCATAGTTTAATTCTCCCCACGGCATTTTCTTGTGAGGTCCATAACCATATTTCAGTACTTCATTTTCAAGTAAATTAGAGTTTTCTCTGCAGCCCAATATGTGTTGCTTGGCTAAATTATGTTGGCAATAGAAAAAGTAATTATAACACAGATCAAAATGAATTTGCATTGCCATTTCATGTTGGCTAATTAGAATGTCACCAGCATTCCAATTGTGTTTCATATTACACGAGTCCTCGGTCAAATGCACGAATGCTTCCATAGCAGGTACTTTTAATTTTTTAGACTCTCTGCGACCAGCGCCTAACGCGGGCTCATAATAAGATAAAATCTCATCCAAGAACATAAGGCTCTGAACACGTGACGCATCACACATACGTAATATTTTCTCAAAGTTTTGGTTCATGGGATTGTAGACGTTATCAACTTGCATGCCAGGTCTATAACAAAAACATTAAATATACAATAAAAGTTTTTAATTAAATACAACAGTAAAGTTATTAAAATCGTTGGACTAAAAAGAAGTAAGAAAAAAGTTTTAGCCATTTCTCATCAAGAGCAATTGTTGTGAAAATATAATATTTTACTGACAGATATTGGTAAAAGTAAAGTTATTTTATTTTAAAATACCTTGAAAAGCACCCCACACTTTTTTATGATAAAATGATTATTCTTTTTGATCTTATAAAAAAAATATTTTCTACTTTTTAGTTCGGCTAGCTACAAGTGTGTTTTTTAGTTTTTAAAACTATAATTTAATTTTCCTTCTTAGTTCCTATTATCGATGATTATTGTGTTAGTAAGACTAAAAAAGTAACAAGTAAGTTTATCACGTCTTAGTACGTAACAAAAGACACTGGTGCTAATTCTGTTAGTCGAAAACTCTCTGAACTTAACTAAAAATCACCAAAAATTAGTTTTGTCCTGTCAAATAACGTTTCGTATTCTAAAAATGTAGTACTTCACAGGACTAAACAATTTTTTTGTGATTTTTAGTTTAGAGAGTTTTCGAACAGCAGAATTCACACTATTACCGTATTTTTAAGTGCGGAACAAAGATGTTAAACCTGAAAGTCCTGATTAGGATAATAGTAAAAGCTATTTAAATTATTGCATTGTCATCGGTCCTTGATAAGTGTGCAAAGTTTCAATTTAATTCGAAGTTTTGAAAAAACTTTACTTACATATGGCTGTATGACATTTTATTGAACTTAGCATAGAGTGCAGCTTTGACAGGAAATCGGACAATCCATCTATGATATAAAATTAGTGCGAATTGGATTTGTGGCTGCTGCAATAACTCTACAGGAACTTCCTGAAGTAGTAATGTTAAACACATTAGTTAATATTTAAATGATTGGCACTATATATACATACAGAAAACATATTTATTGTTATTTATAATAAGTATTTTCGTTTTACCTGTGGGGGTACAGAAAAGGCAGCATCAGTGGCCATATACACAAGATCCTGCATTAGTTGTTGTTGGATGTGTGGTGAAAGCTTGCTTTCAAATATATCTGAAAATTTTAATTTATGTATTATTTACATTTTGAGAATTTCATTTCAATTGAGGATTGTTTCTTTCTGTGACGTTTAGTAATCATGATCATTTTAGTTAAGACTAGAGGATGAGAGAAAAAAGAAAATATTGAGAATTTCATGGATTATTAATTTACTCATTTAAAATTAAAGCTGTTTATAAATATGTACTTTCTCATTTAGGCAATTACATTGCAGGAGAGTCACTTTCACATATCATCATATATTGAAGTTTATTATTTTACTATTCGTACATGTCTCTCCATTACTAAAAACATGAATATATGTATAACAATATTTCTCTTCAGATAAAACCTAATTAGATGTATGTATTTATGGTATAAATAATGTAAAAACGAATGTAAAAGAAAATCATACCCAAGTTCCAGTGCAAAGTAGCTGCAACTTTCAGAGCAAGTATTTTCAGTGCTAGTTGCTTCCGTGTGAAATGAGCTGGTGCCAATGTGGTCACAGATGGTGGTGTGGGTGGAGCATCCAAATCCACCACACGCTCACTAGCAGCCTTTAAATTTACATTCTTTGTAGCAACTGAGACAAATTCTGTTATAAGTTCACAAGCAGTGGGCTCTGTAAAAATATTATATAAGTCAATTTATGTATATTTTTAATGTTCAATCAGGTGTTTTGATATTAGTTTTAAGGTAGGTAGTATATCTTACCTGGATGCGGTTTGCTCAGGTGTTTTTTAAGAAGATTTGGGTCTAGAAGGAATTCAAACCACAATATTGTTTCCGGTGATATAGGCACAGTGCCAGGCCTTAACAAATCCACATCCATTATGAAACAATGACTTCTATCAATTAAGATATGATATACATAGATGGTTTATACCTTAACCCATCAGAACTTATCATTTAGTTAAAATACTTAGGTTGAACCTGAAAGCAAAAAACAAATATAAATATATTTCTCTATTCATTATCTGTACTTTGAAGATAAAAACAGACTGTGAGTATATGTGATTTAAAAGATTAGTTACTTTAAATCTTATTAGTTTACATTTTAAGGTCATTTATTAAGATTTATGTTACCCCTCTGAGCGCTTATTAGCTACACACCTCTTTAAAGTAGCTGTGGAATATTTATCATTAAATAAATATTTACATGTTTATTGAAATTTAGTATTGAGAGCTCAGGAAATATAACACAGAAGTTCCATGTTAATATTAATAATCAATGGAAAATTTTCAATGAAAACCTATACTACCATCAGCTAAACTATGGTTTGACCATTTCTGTTCTTTCATTTTCAAAGTTGGTGATTCGAAATTAGTAACATTTAAACTATAAGAGGCGCAGTTAGATAAATATAAGGACTACTTATTTTTATTAGATGTATTATTTATAACCATTCAGGGGAATTGTGTTACTTTACGTTACTTTATATTTTTACAAAAAAGTAAATGAGTTTTGTTTATTGCAATTAAGTTAAATTCTATTTCAAGTTGTGCATACAACAAATAATTCTACTGCATATTGTTATAACTAATATGATAGATAATAAGTGCACAATTAACAGTTAGTCAGGCAAAAATCGTAACCAGAGTTAAACTACTATTGCTTGGAGTTATGCTTCTATTGCATACGACAAGATAGGATGAATTGTAAAGTACAATTTTCAAAATTTCAAAACACTGTATTTTGGTGCAATTTAGCTTATCTGCACAAAATATATCTTAAATGTTTCCTCTATTTATGTTTATTGGTTTATCTCGGACATCTATAATTTGCCGCTTTTTCAGCTTGACCAGCTACGGATTGATCCTATCCGGTATGAAATAATTAAGATTCTTATCTTATAACTTATATTAGAAATTCATAAGATACCTTTTCCTACAACACAATAAAAACACTTCAATAATTTTTATAACACAACATAACCTACAAACTGACGCGTATTTGAGAGATACGAAAATGTATGTAAATGATTATGGAATTATGGATTGGTTGTTATTGGTTGGTTTTGGTCTTTTGGTTCATCGCCTGTCAAGTGTCATCTGTCAATGTCAGTCGTAAACTTTCAAAATACGAGTATAGAGATGAAGGAAGAAGAATTCTTAAAAGCAACACCAATATTTATTGGGAACAACAAAAAACCCGACTGCATGAAAATCGTATACTTAAATTCAGAAACGCATTTCGCATTCCAAATTAAGGACATTTAAATATTTTCGTGGTTTATATTTTTTGAAAGATGCTACATAGTTGAATGCTATGCTAGTTGAATGCTACATAGCGTGCCTAAAAATACACACTCATTAGACCATAGAGATATAAGCATAGAGTGAACAAGAGCCCAAATCTTGCAATAAAGGCAACGAGAGAGATACACTACGTTTGCCTAATCACGGTCTCCACTCAATCTACACAATCAACTCCGCACATGTCGGCTCATGCGACCATTAGTCCACCTTGACATATGACCAGCCCTCTTCCACTTTCTCTTTGCGATGTCGATTACTCTAGTTCTCTGTCGAATAGTTTTGTTTCGAATTTTATCGCCCAGAGAAACACCAAGCATCGCACGTTCCATCGCATGCTGAGTGACCTTGAACTTGTGGAACAGTCCAACGGTGATTGTTGTCCCTCCCACAATTCGTGAAGTCTTCTTTCTTTGCTGCTCTGGAATACGCTCCCACTTGAAATCAGGATGTCCACAAATCGCTTCACATTTAGAAAGCTTGTGAGGTAGTTAACCTTCTTCAGTTGGCGGAATTACCTACTCAATAGTACACCTCCCTATTTACAGTATACGAATATAAAGTAGGTATATATATTTATATCTATATATGTATATTTATGTATTTATGTACTTATATGTGTAATTGTTTATGTTAGTTAAAAGCATATAACAACTGTAACCTCAGTGCACCTCACCAGATTTATACACCACCCAAAGGTTGGCTGGTAGAGAATGCCCTAGGCATGAAGTCCGCCGATTTACACAAGTGCATAAAGTTATAAAAAAATAAATAAGTGTCCACGTCTCGGCTCCATATCATTCCGGTAGGACGCACTGGTTTATCGCCTTGGTGGGGATTGGGGGATCGGCGATACGAAGATATGACGAAGCTTCCCATATGCCGCACAACCAGGACGAATTCTTCTATCGGCCTTCTGATAGAAGTTAACGGCCACGGGAATCGGGGATACTTGCCTATTGTACATGATCTTGGTCTTACCAATGTTTATCCAAAGTCCCACTCGTCTTGAAGAATCGACTAGACTTTTGAGCATTTCTTCCAGATTATGCAGAGATTCCGCCAGGACCACTGTTGTCTGCTAATCGCAGGTGTGAGATGTATTTGCCACTGATATTGATGCCCCGTCTGTTCTAATCAAGCGTCTTGAAGACTTCTTCCAATGCATTGGTAAATAGTTTCGGAGAAATAACGTCTTCTTGTCTTACCACGCGATGCAAATGGATTGGTCTTGTGCTCTGTTCTTGTACTTAAATGGTCATCGTTGCGGCTTCGTAGAGACATCTCGGCACTTGGATATATCGGCAGTCGACCAGGCATCTCTGCATAGATTCCAGGACAGCCCAGGTCTCGATGATGTCGAAGGCCTTCTCGTAGTCCACATACGCTATGCAGAGAGGCTAGTTGTACTCCTTTGTCTTCTCAATTATTTGCCTTAGTGTGTGTAAGTGGTCCACGATGCTAAAGCCTTTTCAAATCCCAGCCTGATTCACAGGCTGGAAGTTATCAAATTTTTGGGTGATACGATTCGTAATGACCCTCGAAAACAAATTGTATACATGGCTCAGAAGTGATATGGGGCGTTAGTTCTTCAGTAGGCTTCTGTCTCCTTTTTCAATAACAGTACTACGACACTTCCGCTCCATACCTCTGGTGTAGTGCTAATACGAATTACGGAATTAAACAGTTTTGAGAGCTCTAGTAACACAGGAGTTCCTCCAGTTTTATGAGCTCCGTTATAATTTCGTCTTCACCCAGAGCTTTGTTGTTACTGAGTTATCCGAATGCCACCTGAGTGAGATCACCAAGATCGATGTCAGGAAACTCGTCTGTGAGGTGGCGTGTCAGCCTAGCACGCGCTCTTTAACTGCCTGTTAAATTTCTGCCGTTCAGATAGTGTGGCGTTTTCTGTCTCTCGTCTTTTCCTCATCAGATCCAGAGTCTCGCTGGTGAACTTCGACTTGCGGTTTCCAACATGGCGAACCGGTTCTGAAGTTCCAGCTGGGAGCTTTCATATTCAGCCTCAACCTGAGGCAGAGTTGGTGTAAGAGTCGACTTCATCAGGCGCACCCGCTCTGTTCTAGTGGATAAATTTAGGGTGCGTCTTAAGAGTTGGTGATCACTTCCGGTATTGAACCTGTTGATCACAGAGAGATCCCTGAATATGTATCGTTTGTTTGTGATGGCGAAGTCGGTCTTGTTTTTCGTCGCGCTATCGGGTCTTAGCCACTTCCATTCGGGCTTCTTCTGAAAAAAGTTTTCATTGGATAGAGCCACTGGGCCTCGAGGAAGTTTACCAGCATTTGCCCCCAGTGGTTTCTTCGCCCGTAACAGAACGGTCCTTTGATTAGCCATATTCCTGTACTCCCACTTGCACATTGTAATCGCCCATGACACAGTAATCTAAGTGTTGGTACGAGAAAGAGGCTCAACTATATTTCCTACAAAGTTGCGACCTCGTCGTCAGGATGTGTAGTTGTGGAAGCATACACTGGTACAACCTTCAAGGAATACCTTTTGGAAAGTTTTAAGACAAGATACGCTACCCTTGACGACACACTGGCAACCATGCTGCTTATGAGCGATTTATGGACCATAAATCCGGCGCCACTTTTTGATGGTTGGTCTCCCTGTCGAAAGTATATATATAAAAATCTAAGGGCATCGTCTCCTCCCCCTGTCTTCGGACTTCTGACAGCCCCAAAAATATGCCAATTTATATGGCTCACCTCCGCTTCCAATTCTGCAAGGCAATCGTCCAGCCGCAGAGTGCGTCCATTGTACGTTGCTCAAGTCATTCGCCGGTGGTACCCTACCACCGGCGAATGTTCTTCGCACCACCGTGGCCGGTACGATGGCCAGGAATAGTGCGAGTACCGGGAACTGGGGACCGTTTTGTTTGGTTGCGATCCATCTGGGGGAATTCGCCATGGTCACCACGCAGGGGCGAGAATCATTTATCTGGTGACGTTGCTGTCCGTCATCAATATCGATATTTATAGATTCCCGCAGTGGACTGGTTATATCGCCACGAGTCGGTCGCCAGAGCCTCGTCCGTTGTTTGTTAGGGTTCACCGCGTGCAGGTGAGGTTGACGTTACAGGGCCTAAGATGGCCCCGGTTACACCACCTTTTTTTAATGAAAAGCTGTAAACGCAAAACGAAAAATTAAGCATTGTTTTCAATGCAAAGAAGTTTACTCTCCTCAGAACAAACAGTTTTCACACGTAAGTTTAATTCTGACTTCAATCTTTTTCATTTTATACTAATTATTCTACCAGTGTACTCGTATGTAGTTTATCAGGTTTCCAAAAGATGCTGTTTTATTATAGGCAAATACAAGATTAACATAAATATTAGATAGATCTTAGGTTGTTAAGATTCGGGCACGCCGTCATCGCGGCGGTAAGACCCGTTATGGAGGATTGGCTCGAGAGGCGTCACGGGACCCTCTCATACCGATTGACGCAGGTGATCACTGGGAAGGGATGTTTCGGGGATCACCTGTGTCTGATCCGCAAGGAGCCAACGCCTGAGTGCCACCACTGCGATGGCCAGACCGTGGACACGGCTCTCC